TTGGTCAGGAAATGTGTCAGCTGTGACTTGGCTTCAGTATTCTGCAGGTCGATAATCTTGTCTTTCACCTGTTCGCGCACAAGACGGTATCTGATGTCGATATGTTTCGCTCGACTTTGATAGCCGTCGTTCTTAGCGATAGCGATTGCACTCTGGTTGTCTTCGTGAATTGTGACAGCATAGGTAATCTGCACCTGCATCTCTTTGAGTAGACTTCTTGTCCACAGAATCTCCTGCACACACTAAGAAAGAGCCTTATACTCTGCTTCTGTCGTGCTCAGTGCCACGCTCTGCTGCATCTTCGATTTGAAAATAACAGGTGCGCCATTAATCAAGACAAAACCCCCCGAATTGGTTTTCTGCGATTCCACTTGTTACTTGTCCAGTCCGCATCGGTTTATGCGCTCAGATGAAGATTGCCTAAAACTCCTTCATAACAAATTCGTTTGCTCTGCGTCGTCTTCAGATATCACAAAACTCGAATTGCTGCATTCCAGTGCTCTTCATGCCACAATTTCAAATGACGACTCAGCTGACATACCGCGTATGCAATATCTGGTCGTGTGCGTGTTGCCACATGCAACAACGACCCCACTAACGACCGATACGGTCGATTCTTCATTCTTGTGTCAGCTTTGTCCATCTTGACCATCGCTTGCCCTTCAACACTTGGATTTAACACTGCATTCGCATCAACTTGATTAAATTTCTCGACCATGCTTGATATACACTATCCTTGACTGATCTTCAGACGTCGATTGTCGTGCAGCTACTTGACTTCGATTCCAAGAACGTATCGAAAACCCCCTAGTTTCTTTAACTGAAAACGACTTGATAGTTGAGCTACCACATCGTCCATCGCTGCAGTAGATTCAACCCCAATAAGAAGGTCGTCCACATATAATGCAGCGTAAATCCACGAGCCTTTGGTCTCTATGACGAAGATGCATGAGTCTGCCACGCATGAAGAGAACCCCATCTCCACAAACACACACAAAATTGTCTTATACCATGTAGCGGCCGCTTGTTTTAGCCCATACAGACTGCGATTTAGCTTAAGCACTTGATTATGTCCTGCACGAACGCCCTGAGGAGGGTAAATATACCTCTTCTTCCAAAACGCCATATAGAAAAGCAGTGTCGACATCATATTGATGAACCAACATCCCCTCTTGACAACACACCGCCAAAATCACTCGTATTGAGTTGAGGTTTGCCACAGGTGAACACGTCTCCATGTAATTAACTTCATACGCCTGCCTGCAGCCAAGTGCTACAAGGCGTGCCTTGTATCGAATAATCTCACCTAACTCGTTTCGTTTGAGTGCGAACACCCACTTGGTTCCAATCACTTTTTGGCTTGGACGCTGTGTTTGAACTGTCCAGGTGTCCTTTTCCTCTGATGTCTTGAGCTCATCTTGAATGGCCTTATACCAACAATCACGACGAGTTGATTAAGAGCTTCTTCGTATGTCGTTGGGGTCTCGAACGCTTCACATGCTTGCTCATACCCAATACGTAGTCTCTTTGTACCTCTTTCTTGACACACTTCTGAGCCGTCATAAATTTTCTCATCAGCACAACGCACTGGTATTAACGCTTGATATTGTCCATGTTGAATCGATTCTAGTGGAACCATCGCAGTTTCTTGCGATGCTTGAATACTTGTCTGTCGACTTGGTCGTATCACCATCCGTCCTTGTTGTGACATATCTTCAGCCGGTTCTTGATCTTCTTCAATCATCGTCACATCATCGATTCCAAACATTAAGTCGTTAGCATTGGAACCCACGTGTTCAGGCATCTTGCTAATGCATCTTGATGGTAGAGCCATTGTTGCCGTACGCCTGTCTTGCATGTGACTCTCTTCTTGAACACTGTGACTGTCTCCCATTGCTATGTACATGTCTTTCGTGACTCGTGGTTGTTTTAAATCGATAGAAACAACGTCTTCGTCATGAACAGCGCGAAATTCTTGGTCACTGGATCTGCTGTAATGTTGCACGTACTGAAGTGGTTGTCTCTCATAGAATTTAGCCGATCTCGTGTGCGTCACCCTCTTGGCATCTTCGTCCCATATTCGAAGCCCCTTGATTTGGTTCGAGTGACCTAGAAATATACATCGAATCGCCTTCTTAATCATCTTGGTCCTGTTCGATTTGTCGACATGTGCATATTACTTTAATCCAAATACACACACATTGGAGAGGTCAGGTTTCTTTCCGAAGATGAACTTAAATGGAGTTGTAGTCGGGTGACTGGCACATGTAACTCGTTTTGTCACATGGGCTGCTGTGTTCATCGCCTCAGCCCAATAAATTTTATCCACTTGCATATGGCTGAGCATTACTCTGACCCGCTCTGTCAGTGTCCAGTTCATGCGTTCGGCCAGCTCATTATGTTGTGGTGAATAGGGTACCGTCGTCTGATGCATGAAACCATATTTTCGACATACACCAGAGAAACGTCTGTTGACGTATTCCGTCCCGTTGTCCGTCCTGATACACTTGATCTTCTTGGACAATTGATTCTCCATTAGTGCCTTGTACTCTATAAAGCGATCGTCACTTCTGACTTGTTTTTAATATAAAATGCGACTACGTATTCGAATAATCATCAATAAAGGTCACGACAAATCTTGATCCTCCTCGATACTTCGAATCCATATGTCCCATGACATCACTGTGGACCAACTGCAACACTTCATTGGTTTTCACCTGTTCGTATGGTGACTTCAGAAACGTCTTGACGGTTTCTTTACCCATGATGAACCCTTCGCAGATCTCGATGTCATCTTCAACGCCTTAATTCTTCTCGATCTTTAATCCATATACGCAACCTGCCATATTCTTGAGCATCATTGTTGACAGGTGACCTAATCTTGCATGCCACACTTTTAGATCAGCCGCTCCTGATCCGTCGCCTGATTTTTGCTCTTGATTTGTCTCTTCGAAACGTTGGCTACCTCAGCCGGACTGCACTCTAAGACGTACATATTGTTTCGTCTTGGTATTTGGGCAACGGCTTCCGTGTTACTTCTAATCTGACAGCTCAGATTTGAGAAGATCACTTGTAGACCCCTTTTTAACAATGCCGATATTGACAGTAGCCTTCGGTCTAGGGCCGGCACCCATAGCGTTTCTTCGATCCTCATCACTTCACCAGCCTTGAGTTGCACGCGCCACTGTCCCAATGCCGGCACCCATAGCGTTTCTTCGATCCTCATCACTTCACCAGTCTTGAGTTGCACGCGCCACTGTCCCACCTTGCGCTTCCACTTCGCTGCCGTCTGCTATGGTGATCATGATCGAATATGACAGTGAGTCTAAATTCGTAAACTCATTTCTGTCGGAAAACATGTGGCTTCTTGCCCCACTGTCCAATAATCATCCAGCTGACGTTTGACTTAACGCAGTAGATGCTCTCTCTTCTCCAGATCGCTCTGTCTCCACTGTGCAGACTTGCAATCTTGATGCTTGTGCCCATATTTGTTACATCGGTAACACCTTCCCGAGAACTTTTCACCTCTTGAACTTGATCTTCATATATGTCTGTGCGGACCTTTCTTGTACTTGAAAGTGTGCGTAATTTTCAGTGCGACTTCTTGGTGTTCTGTCTTTGCCATTCGTCTCAGCACTTCCTCAGCGTGAAACAGCGTCATTCCGGGCATGTTCTCAATTATCTTGACAATGGGTTCATAGTCTCTCGTTAGACTACCCAATAGGATGGCCAAATGCTCATCCTGTGAGACCTCTTGTCCCACAGCTTGCATAGTCATGCACAGCTCGCCAAATCTTAGGAAGTGTCCCATGATGCCTCCTCCCTTGGCCAACTTGAACTCTTGTAGTTGCTGCCGCAACTGCACACGATTGTGCATACTTTGTCGCAGGAAGAAAGTCTTCAGTATGTCCTTCGCTTCTGACGTTGTCTCCGCCGTGCCACCATTGAATGAAGATTTGTGCTGATCATTGTGGACACAATCGCGAAGGCCCTCGTGTCGTTGACTTTCCAAGTTGACGCGCTTGCCCCTCCTTCTTCTGGGGCCTTCATAGCGTCTAGGTGCTCTAGCAATCCCTTCTTTGCCAGCCTCCCCCTTGCGTTGAGCTCCCACACGAAGTAGTTATCTTCGCGGAGCATGTCACCCGCATCCGGCGTAGTTGGGCTCATAACCTTTTGACTTTTGGCAACAGCCAAGGGCGAGTTGAGGTGGGAGAGCTTAGAAGAAGGTAAAATGGAAAGTGAATTATCATCTAGCTAGGTCCTTAGTTCGTCTCGTTGTACTACTCTAAGCCTATCGATGTCGACTCTATAATTTTAGTAACAAAACGATGACTCGATCCCATCGTTACACACAATCACACTGTGTCGTCCATGACATATGGTCATAAGTATCGGTATCCAACACCACTACCAATAATATGCGACGAGACTTGCTTCTATGCTCGAATATGGCCCGAGTCAGACAGTCTCCAATAAAGACTGTGGTATGATGCGGGGGTGATGGCAGATGATAAACACGTTATATTTGATGTCGTTGTTGCCGTCACTTATCTGTTTGTCATTACGCTTGTGTCAGGCCGTGGGTCAACACGACATTAAGACTAAACGGCCTGCTACGATCCATCGGGATATGATGAGCTCCAATTTTTATCACACCACAAAGCCAGGTGGTTGTTCTTCGCCTACTGTTCATTTTACAAGGCATTTGACCACCGCCTTGCCTTGTGTTATGAGATGATGTGCGTATGGACATTATAATGGGAAAAACGTTCATATCACCTGATATCTTCCTCAAACACATATTCTCCCATGTCGCAGACGCAGTGGTCGTTGTGTCGCGACGAGCACGTCATGTGTGTGTGCGTGTGGTCCACAACACATCTACCAATTATGTGACGCACGCACATTCGCCGTCGCTTCTCGCCAAAAAGGTTCGTAGCCATTCACTCGAGTACCCGACCGCGTGACAACTTCAGAGTCTCAACTTCTAAGAAGTCCCAATGCCTCGTAAAGGTGGCAAACGCGTACGTATCATCCATACAAATGTACCACTTTAACACTGCAGTCACTCGATTGACCTCTACCCACTTTGATCACCTTCTTCGTAATCACCATGTATCGGATTAACAACAGCGAAAAACTCGGACGCACGTGGTCGAAGCTCCAGCCAGCGAAAAAGATGACACGCCCATGAGTTTCGTCTTCAAGATGGGCAAAGTCCCCAGCGTGGTGAGCAGTTTGGTGCAAGACATGCGACGAGTGATGGCCCCGTACACAGCCGACAAGCTGCGCGAGAAGCGCAAAAACACGCTCAAGGACTTTGTGCACGTCGGAGCTCCTCTTGGAATCACGCACTTTATCTTCTTCACCAACACCGACGCTGGCACGAACCTCAAGATTGTACGCATTCCACGCGGCCCAACGCTGTCGTTCAGAGTGACCAAGTACTCGCTCATGAGTCAACTGCACTTGGTCGTGCGGCGTCCAGTGGATGCGTCCCAAGCACTCAAGTCCAAGCCATTGGTGGTGCTCAATAACTTTACGGCTCCAGATGACCACATGAAGCTCATGAACGTGACGTTCCAGAACATGTTTCCAGCTATTGACGTGCAGACAGTAGCGCTGGCCGAATGTCGACGGGTGGTGCTGTTTAATTACGAGAAGGAGACGGACACGGTCGAGTTTCGCCAATATGTGATTCGCGCCGCGCCTCTTGGGCTCTCGAAGAGCGTCAAGACCATTGTGAAGGCCAAGGTGCCGAATCTGAACAAGCTCGAGGATATCAGTGAGTACGTGCTGGGCAATGGCGCAGGCATTGGCTCGGCTTCCGATAGTGAAGTGGATGATGAGGCGTCCCATGTGACGCTGCCGGACTCGTTTCGTGGTCGTGGCAATCGTAAAGCCGAGAAAAGTGCCGTGCGCTTGACCGAGATCGGGCCACGTCTGACACTTGGTCTGACCAAAGTCGAGCGTGGCATCTGCGAAGGGGATGTGCTGTATCACGCGTACAAGACCAAGACGCCAGAGGAGGCAGCCAAGGCCAAAGCAAAGCATGAAGCAGCAGTGGCACTCAAGCGTCAGCGACGTGAAGAGCAGGAGTCGAACGTGGCGAAGAAACAGGAGGTCAAAGATGCCAAGAAGCAGCGCAAGGCTGATCGCAAGCGGAAGCACGACGAGGATGACGAGGATGACGAGGATGGATACGACGAGACAACTGCAAAGGCTGGAGACAATGACAACAATGAGTCTGAACCGGACGACGTCGACTACTACCGCCAAGAAGTAGGAGAGGAACCGGATACGTACATGTTTCCCGACCAGAAGAAGCCGAAAGGCAAGAAGCATGTAGCTGCCAAGACCAAGGCAGGTGCTATCCAGAAACCTTCTGAGGTGGCGGTCTCCGACAAGAAACGCCGCTTCTTGCGACCCGGGGCTAAGGCTCCTAAAGGCCAAGTCATTCGTCAGCGCCAGCCCAAGAAGTAGAGTATTGCGTTGGAGAATACACGATCTTGTTTTCTTTCGATCATCACACCTTGAGCGATGGCTGTCGTTGAGGCCTGAACGAGTCCCTCCATGCAGCTTGACACACTCTTCCATCGAGCTTTTCATTGTTTCAAACGAGTGTACAGTTTATCATGACACTACAAGTCGGCAATGCCCTGTTACCGCTCCTTCGACACACGAACTAACCTAAACCAGCCTGGAGCTCAGTAACGCAAACGGTGAAGAATGAGCGCTCAACACAAACCGAACACAGCGCTCACTCACCGTCGGCCAGGGGGCGGCTGGAGCGATGGATGCTGGTGCTGCTTCGGATCACTCATAGGAATCGGAAAGCGGTCGCGACGCCCGCCCTGCGAAATGCCAGCGGGTCCACCCAAATTCTTTGGATTCAATCCAGCAAGGCGCTGCGGCGGGGCCTGCAGTTTACGGTCACCCCCATCCATGGCGTAGCGCATTCCCCCGATCTTGCTCTCGTCCTTCATGGGCCGACCGGGCATCCCCCGACGACCGTCTTGCTGCATATGCACCGCTTGCGCGTGTTGCTGCTGCGCCTGCATCTGCGCTTGCATCTGCGCGTGATGGTGAGCCTGCGCTTGAGCCGCCTGTGCCTGAGCTTGTGCATGAGCATGCGCTTGAGCCTGGGCATGTGCCTGGGCCTGAGGGTGCTGCGATTGCATCTGCTGAGCCTGGGGTGCGTGCTGCATGCCCGGCACCATCCCGCCCATGACGCCAACGCCACGAGGCATCATGCCACCACCGTTTAACGGGGCACTACGTCCCATGCCACGCATCATGTTCATACCGGCACTACCCACAGGTACTCCACGTGCGACACTGCTGCTTGACTCAGGGCCGCTGGCACTCATAGGGTTTGAGGTCGGGGCACTGCCCATGCTCATGCTCATAGGGACCTCGCCTCCACGCAACATGTGCGCCATTGGTGCACCTTGGCTTACCGATGCGGCACCATTAGATTGAGCAGACGTTCCTTGTTGCTGTGCCTGGTACTGAGACTCTGCCGTAGGTCGTGAAGAAAAAGTCGGCATAGGAGACGTAGTCGGCGGCTCGGAAGGGCCAGGAGCGGTGTTGGCACCTGCCATGCCATTGGTCGACTGACCAGTTTCCCGGGCACGTAACAGCTCCAGCCGCTCCCGAATGAACTGCGCATCTGCCCCAAGCTCTGCAGCTTTTTGGTAAGCATCGCGAGCATCGCTAGTCTGGTTGCACGTGTCGTAAAGTGTTCCAACATTATACCAGACCTCACAGATGTTTGGGTTGATATTAATCGCGCGCGAGTACGCATCGAGCGCATCCAAATGCTGGTTCAGCTGGTAAAAGAGCACACCAAGCGAGCACCACACGTTCGGGTTCTGCGAGTCCGTCGTCACGGCGTGTTTATACGAGTCATAAGCCTCTTCAAACTCCTGCACCGCCATATAACATCGTCCCAAAAGATACCATCCCTTGCCATCTTGTGGATCAATAGCAACAGCCTTCTTCAGAAAGTCAATTGCAGGTGGATGTTCACTGTGCTTGAGACACAACCAGCCGAGCTGTTGCAGCGGTTTGGCATTGTTCGGGTTCAGCTCAGCCACCTTGAGGTAACTCGACTTGGCCAGCTGAATCTCGTCCTTGAGCTCGTACACGTGTCCAATCTGCGTCCAGATATCACTGGCCATCTCAGTGGTCTGGACGTTCGCCTGCACGTCATGGAGCACCGACTTGAGTCGATCCAACGCGCCTTCATAGTCGCCCCGCTGCTTGGCAATGATCCCCAGACGGAACTTCACTTCCAGTGCCATGTTAAAGTTCGGTTCAAAGCGAAGCACAGCTTCAAACGACTCCTGGGCGTGCTCGAGCGAGCCCAGACGCTCATAGAGCTGGCCAATGCCGTACCACATGTTAGGATCCTTCTGACTCATCGGATTGTTGTACATGGCGTACTGATACGCCGTGTGGGCGCTCGTGAGGTCGTTCATCATGAGGCAGCAGTAGCCAAGATGGCCCCACGCGTCCGAGTTCTGCTCGTTCAGCGACACGAGGCCGCGGAAACAGTCGGCGGCCTTTGTATAGTCCTCGACCTTCTCATAGCAACAGCCAATGGCAAAGAGCGCCGTGGCGTTCAGCCGGTTGTGCGACAACACTTTCTCGTACGCCAGCATCGTGTTCTCGTCGTCGCCCATCATCTCAGCAATGCGGCCGAGCGACAGCCACGCTTCTTCGTTTGCAGCCGACAGCTGGCGACCGAGCTACGCAGTCATGATAATCAAGATCAAACAAAGACATTTTGATAAAAAAGTGTTTTTAGATGGGTGCGTATACTTGTGTATACATGGAATCGAGGTGAGTGGTGGTGGTGGTGGCGTACCGTGCTGGTCTCTTCCATCTTGGGGGTGGCCATGTCGGCGGGACGTGGCGAGGCGCAGTAGCGATCGAAGACGCGGCTTCCCGGTTTCACGTGGAGGAAACTCGTGGTTCCGCCCGCGCTTTTTGCGTTTTTGACGATGACTTGTGGGGGAGCCGTCTCTTTTGCAAATGACGGGACGAGGTGGAGGGCGGCGACTGTTTTTCTTCTTCTTTTTTTTGTCCAGGCTGGGGAGAAAGGGGTGCCGACGGGTCGAGTGACAGGGGAGGAGGGAAAGCCCTAGCCGCGATGGAATGTTATTTACACTTTCGACTGAAGATGGGATGTGCAGCACTGACGTCTCTTGCGACGACGGCGAATTGAATTAACACAAAATCGGAGTGACGCGGTCGAATACACGACGGACCACACTACGTGACGATCGAGGGAACTGGCCATCGACCATGCACGGTAGAGCAATTGGTTGAGGTAAAGCTGCGTCATTTGTTTTGTATGCGTGCTGCTATCCAGTGCAACCGGCTGCATCGCGCAGAGACCGAGGGTGTAAAAATCAGACGTGTGTGAGCGATCCGTTACCGACTCTCTCACACGCGCACGATGTTTGGTGTACGTTAAGACACAGGACAGTTTCGATGGACGCTGGCAAGACGTCATGGAGACGGAACTCCGCGCAGGCGTTTTGATAGTCCACATGAAAAGCAGTTGATACTGTAGTCAGCATGTTCGATGGAGACACCAAACGGCTGCAATGCGCGAGTTTCAACGAAGAATCCAAGATACCAGTACAAGCGACAGTCCAGCGCAGCTGTAACGGAGCGTGATGGGCGTGACCGACGAACAGGGCGAGCAAACCAATCACACACGTGGCGACGCCCTGTCTATATCACCATCGGGTATTCTCAACAGCAAGCCAATGGACGGCAGCGATCAGAAGTAAAAATAGCACGTTGTCGTATCGCCAAGACGAGGCTGGCGCGCGACGGTTTTCTGTCCGTCGCCGGCTCTCCGATCCGAATGGGGAAGAAAAAATTACTATTTGCTTCACTTGACAGCGCTGAACTGGCTGGTGTTGTGCAGGTAGCGATTTAGCGGCAAGCTAGGATTTCGCTGCATGCTGAACTTTACACACCGCTGTGGTGGCGAGCATGGACGTTTCACCGCTCTGAACCCATGCCTGTTGTCGGATCGGTACCGTCCCCCAGAAATCAGCTGTTTTGCTCGCTTGAGCTACAGGCATGTCACATTAGCCACGTAAACAGGTCGGAGGAACAACACCGTGGACGACCGTTTTATGTAGGAGAGCAGAATGATGGTCGTGTGATGCAGTAACGTCGTTACGAAAGAGTCGATCAAGTAGCAGCAGTCGATTGGCTGAAACCCAGCTCGACTCGAACGAATTATGAAATATCACGAAAGAATGCTATTGTGAGCAAAACGGATAGAGCGAGAAGTCAGCTGATGTCCTAACATTCTTGCATCGACATTTTCATAATTAGCTCTTTTTGTGCAAGACCAATTTGCCAAAATATGGTACAAATCATAGAATAAACGATCAGCAATTGATTTGTATAAATTCTAAAGATTTAACTGATCGATTGATTTCTGCACTCACGGTACCCACGACGATCTGATGAATAACTTCGCACTCACAACCCTTGAATACAAGCCACTGGTAAATGACGATACGCGAGTAAGAACTTGTCGTTACAACACGAGAAGTAAAGGTGAAGACCAGTAGGAAGATGTGATACCGACGTGGAGAGGGACAGATGGCCCTTTTTCCTGGCCCACCAGGACTCGTGAGCTACATGCCACGTGCTGGTTGTTGAGCAAGTTTCTGTACCATTTGTTCGATGTGGGTCTTTATAGCTCATACGTTTAAGCTCGTGGATTCCATCGTGAGCTGCGAAGAAGTGCATCTGCGCTTATGTGAGTCACCGGTAGATGTCACGAATCGCGATGGTGGTAACGCCGAGCTTGCAGACAAGCATACATCTCCACAAGATACGGCGAAGTGGGCTCACAGCAAGTATTGTACAGACTGCTACAACCGCAGCCTCAATGCAACGACATGAATGACATCTGACCTGCCTATTCAAAGTCCGGACACAAGTGTGAGCTCTCGCGTAAGACCGAGGAGAAAAAGCTAGAAAGAATTCGGATGAAACAGCGCTCGCATGTACTACTCATTATCGTATGGCAGTCGCAACTGACCAAAGTGTGAATCAAAAGTGTTCTTACAGCTCTTGGAGTGCGTTCGATGGAGCTGAGAAAAGATGGCCTCGTGGATTCCGGTGCGAGCTTACGATTAATCAAGCAAAGTAGGAACGGCACTGGTGTCGAGATGCATCGCACATAAGAAGGTTCCACGTCTAAGTCCTGACAACGATAAGCTGTCTCGATCTCCCAACTTTAAACTTCGACACCTCCAGCGAAAGTATCATGTCTTTGTCAAAGACTAGCACTTGCTAAGTTGTTATGCTAGTACATCAGTGCCCAGCTATGCAAAGCAACGAATGCCTCTTCCTCCTGTCTATCTACGACGGAAGCTCCTCCGCCGATTTTGTCGCGTAGTTGCTTTGTACATTCAAGACCGTCACACTGTGCTTAGTCGTAGCGCTTGTCATTACTATCGTGGACCCTGGTAGACTATTTCGTATGAAATGTGATGCGTTTGGAGGTCTTCTGATAGCAGCATCGAGAGCGTCCATATGAGGACCTTGTGTGCAGTAGGGGGGTCTCGTCGTCGCTGACTTTACCATGCAGATAGCGCTTGCTGCTAAAACGGGATGGAGCGTACATAGTTAGTTAGCTGCTAGGAGTGCCACGTAGCACTGACGTCACATGCGCCACCAAACAGTTGCGATTTGCGGCACCACGCCGGAAGGGGAGAAAACAATGCCAAGCTGGGAACAACCTTCCACACAGTATCGCACACGCCAGCTATTCCAACCATCAGACTGACGAATACAGAAAGCGTCATGTTCACAATCGACCGAACAACGCTTTGTCATGTTCCAATCGCCCGAACTCCTGTGTAACAAGAGCGACGAAAGTCTCACATGACGTCAAGTGTGTTAGAATCGCGCAATAGGATCAGCATCCATCCATCCGTCACGTTCAGCCAGTTCTTCGAGCTCCTTTTTCGTGCTCCTCACCTTCTCTGATCGGGAGCTCTGGTCTTGTCCGCGCCACTTGCTGTGCAACAAAGCCCTTCCGCTTATCCTCGCCGCACCACGCATTTTTCCACCCGCGCATTGTCCGTCATGACAGGAAGGACGGGGCTGTTCATCGTCCTTTTCGCACTCGTGATTCTCTACGCCACGACCGCTGCAGACGACTGGGTACCCCCTGAACCGACTGCAGCGATTGAAGTGAATTTCACAAATGCGTCCGTTCCTGAAGTCGTCACGGAAGCACCAGCGACATTAGCACCAATGACTGAAGTGACGCTCCCGCCAATTCCCACGGCAGTGCCGGCATCCCCGACCTTCCAGGCTGTAAACGATGTTGTTTGCAATGCCACGGTAGCTCAAAAGATCTACGTCCTTTACAGTCAAAACCGCGCGCTCTTTGACCTCTGCGTCGTGGATGCACAGTACCACATTTTCCCCTTCCTCGGCAAGACACCTACGAGTGAACAAGTGGAAAACATGGCTTCGTCCATGTCCTGCATCGCTCTCTTCTCTGGTGTATTGCTAGCCAACTTTCCGGAATGCACCATCTCCGGGTTCCCACTGAAAGCTTCAACGGAGACGTTACTGAAAATCCACGTCGACCTCGTCCATGGGTGGGACCCACTTCCGACAGCAGAGCGGTTCCTTGAACTGGTGATTTGGCGCAAATGTGTGAATCTTGCTAAAGAAGCAGGGGTACCGAGCGACTCGGAGTCAGCGATATGTGGCGAATTTGAAAAGAATCTCGACATTATTCGTCGTGACAGCCCGGTTCGGGTGCTGTCGAACTATTTGATTGAGTACCAGCTATCCAATGGTTCCTGGTACGGTGCCCATGAGATCAATTACACTCAAGTTGGCGACATGCGTCAAGGCAGTCGCGACGATATCGTTGGGAGAGTATCAGCTGGTGACGCTGAACTCGAAGTTGGCGACAGCGAAGCAACAGATGTGAGGAGGGAGTCGACGATACCCGTTAGTTCCGCACTGGAGAGTAAAAAAGCTCGTGGAATTGTGTCTACTCTAGCAAGCCTGCTGCTGGCTGTTTATCTCGTACGAAGAAGATAAGGTTCGAGGCTGTTTTGTAATCGTCGCTCTTTGCTGAAGAGATCCGATACTGTGCCTGGTCATTTATTGCTTGGAGTGCGTGTGTTACTTGATCGTGGGAATGTCAACAGCTTTTGCAGTTCTGCAGTTCCGTGTTGGCTGCGCGTGAGAATGTACGAGTTGTGTTGTGTGAGGAATCGTGTTTGATCCATGCTGTTATGTGCTCGCGACTTTGGAATCTCGTTAGCTTGGATAGCGATATGGCAAGCGACATGACCCGTATGTTGAACGGGCCAAGCTGACAGAAAGTGACGAATTGGTTCAACATCGAGTGTCGAAAGGTGGAAGTTAACATGTGAACAGACATTGGAAACTATTGGAGCATTACAACAGTTTGCCGTGGAGAGACCATGTTGACGAGTTCTCAACGACAACTAGTGACGTGATTGTATCAGTCGACACTTCGGATCCAGAGCAGAGATTTTGCACATAATGCAATGAGTAGGCTAAGTGGATGGGGCATTGAAGAGGAGCTACTTGAAGATGTCGTTGCAGATAGTCACGATGCAACCTTCGCACACGCTTTACGGATGTTTGTGATAGCTGCCGTCGTTTCGGTTTGCAATCCAGAAGCAACCGCTGCGATGTACAAGGCTTCTGAGTAACTCGTCGACGTGTATCGCAGACTACGATTGTGTCATATCGCACCGACTTCTTTGCGCGTTCAAGTCGAAGTACATGGAAGATTGCTCGCGACTTTGAAACAATGGCAACTGACAATAGAAGGCATCTGACGTAATGAAGTCAGAGGCCTTGTTCGACCGATTGATGTCAGCAGCTCAGTCGTCCAAGCAGTCACGAATCCTCCAGTTTTCACCCATTATGCATCTCCAATAACACATCCGGTGACCCGAAGATTTGTAGATCAACCAAGACTTTTGATACCGAAGTACGATGGAAGTGTGCACAAATGTTACCAAGAGTGAGCGGCTCTGACTATCAAAACGATGATCATATTCTCGTGTCGACTGGCTGACGTTTAGTTACGTAGTGCAGTAGTTGCCGTGGTGTCTGGAACCGATACTGCAACCTTAGCTGTTGAGGCAATTTGCTCTTCACGCTTTATCTCCCGTCATGGCGCTGTAAATCTTGTGCAGCATCAAACAGCCGAGTTGCATTCGAGTCGTTTTGCACGCACTTCGATCGTAGGCATAGCTTGAGTTCACTGTATGATCACTAAGCTTCATTCACGTCGAATGATACCAACAACATGAAAGATAGCTTACCAGATTTTCTCGAGAAAGCATGCTCTACGTAAAGACCGTAGGTGGATGGTAGGTAACAGAAAGTAGAGCCCATCGAGAACAAGCGCTCTTTAATACACGAGAAACACGTCAACTTGAAGCTGCTGACTCGCAAAGGCTTCGTAAGTATCGGTGGTGACGACTGCCGCTTACAGCACGACTCATGTGTCACGAACATCTGACCCTTGCGTCATGTGAAGAATTGAGATGATCGATGTCGCTTCCGCCTAAACAGCTTTCACTGTAAGATCACACGCGTCAATACAAAATGACAAGCAAGGATTCGCACACATGTGCTGCGCTCCAAAGCTTGGACGCACGATCATAAACAGCAAGTTGATTACCACTGTAATGATGTCACACCTTGGTAAGCAGCGACTCAAACGTCCACCGACTTCATTGATTACCGATCTCTCCGAAATCACATTGCAAGAGCGTCTTCTTCGGCCCCATGACTTTTCAATCGTCACTTCATCTTCGTCATGTCCTAATCATCGCACCATTCACCTCTGCTTCATGCAGGCAGCACTGGAGCGTATCCCATCTGACAGGACGGTCAGAAACCGTCGTCGCTGACACAAGTTGCGACGTCACCATAACTTCCATTGGCTCGTAGCCGAGGAACACTCGGTCGGCTATCCAACCCCACCACGAGGTCTTCCCATGAAATCCGCTGCCTGTCCACAGATTCGGCAAGCGCGTGCCACACTCGTCTTCAGCTCTTCACTTTTCCGCACTAAACACACCTACAACTCCATCGTCGATCTGTCTTCTCCACTCGCCACCCAAACAAACTTGGCACAGCTATCGACAACCACCATCCCCAACTCGACGTACATGTATTCGCTCGACATTGCGTTACCACTGCAAGAGTAAAGTCTAGTGTCAACCCTCGATCTATAACCTGAAAAAGGAGGTCTCGACACTCGACACTACTGTCGTCACACCTTCCGACTATATCAACACGACAGAGTCTGAAGCATCAACGGCAAGTGATACCATCCCATCAAGTCGCCACCGTCTCTCGACTAGCACGAATCAACAACAACAACACCAACAACAACAATAGCAAATCCGTTCATCATCAAAGCTCATGAATCCCCAAGTACTGAGCGCAAGTGGCAGCAGACCACACAACGCGACAACAACAACAACTATACCAACCACCACCACGCCCACCCCTGCTCTTCCCCTACGGTCGTACGTAATTGATCCTCTCGACAGAAACCCGACGCCGCGTCTTTTCGCTGGCTGACTCTTCACCGTCTGGCCTTCAGTGTCGAAAGACAGCGTGAGTGCCTCCTCTCCGTCTCTAGTCGTCATCGTGCCACTCACTTGCTTCACTTGGTAAAGTCCTCTCCGTCCATCAAGAGCGGCTCGAACACAAAGCGATGCTGCTGTTTCGAGTCTCGTTTCTGCCCGTGCTATGGGGACTCGTTCACCCAACTGGTCTCCTCGTGACGCCCAAAGTCTCCGGTATTTCTCCAGTGGACTCAAGTACCCGAGTCACACGTCGCTTGACCGAGTTGACCACTTTCCCCAAGGCTGAACGAGGGTCCAAGACCTTCGCCTTGATCGACAGCTACGACTGCGACAATGACATGGTCACGACTGTCCGCCATTTCTTCAAGGCCAATGCCGTCACGTTCGACACGTGCGTCTCCGAGAGCGGGTACCAGATCTACCCGTATACAGGCGTCGTCCCGGATGCCGAGATCGTGACGAACTTGGTGAATGCCAATGCGTGCATGGGCATTGTCACGGCTGTAGTGCTGCTCAATATGCCGCCTTGTATGCTGGATAACTTGCCCATGCGAGCAGCGTGCGAGACGCTGTTGTATTATTCCGAGGAGCTGCGGGAAGAGGAAGATCAAGACAAGCGGGTCAAGGCTCCAAGTGCGGACGAGTTTAGTGCAATGATGACGTGGCGACGCGACGTCGATCTCGCTCGAGCAGCTAGGGAACCGTTTGATGGCACCTCGGAAGCGTATGCAGCGTTTACTAGCACGGTGCGCAGAGCACTGGCGTCGAGCAAAGTCCAGGTCCTGAAAAATTACACGGTGGTCTTGGACACGGACGAAGCGGACCCGATTGAAGTGGACGATGCCGGCAAGTACCCGTCGTTTGTCCCAACGAATTCGTCCATGGACTTCTTCGTTGGTCGCGTGGTTGCAGCAGACGACGAGAGTGACAATGCACTTGTTGTGATGCATTCAAAGAGTATGGCAGCGATCCAGAGCTCGGCTGCTGGACCTTTGGCCGTGATGTATTCGACGATGGTTATAGTGCTAGCCGTGACATTTTTAATCTAGTGAAGGAAGCAGCGATGTCGCTGTTGTTATAGTAGGAAAGCAGGAGTTGCAACTGTCCATCCCAGGTGTCTATTTCCCAATACGGTTGTGTACAAGTAAGTGCTCTCAAAACTTGGCCTTGCGCTTGAGACTCAGTTCCTTCTTGGCTTGTTTGCGATCGTCTTTCGACAGCAAAAGTGGAGCAATGGCTGTCCCTGCATGCTTCATGATCTTGGGAGCTGTCAGGACGTTGGTCACTTGCGCAGTATTCCAGTCGCTGCCTAGAGGATTGCGCATAGCAGCTTCGTACTCTTCTCGAGACGTGAAAGGGTACGGCACATCTTTGACCTTATACTTGGCTGCCTTCTTGTCCTTCTTTTCATTGATGAGCACCTTGTCGAGACGAGCATCCTTGCGGTTAGCCAAAGCCTTTTGCTTGGCCTCTATTGCAATCGTCTTGGCTTTCTGCTCACGTGCAAGTTGGTGCTTGGACACGCGAACACCATCACCTGCCCAGCTCCCCCATCCAGACATACCCACGAGCTTAGCGATCTCGGCACCTTTTTTCACGTCAGCATCGTGACCTGCCAATCGATCCTTCTCTTTAGCAAGTTCGTCCTCTTCATCAGCAACAAAGTCGAAAGCACGACGGACAAGCTCGTCTTGACCAGCACCCGATGCCTTCGTTTTTGACTTTTTCGTCAGCTTCTTGCTGCCTGATACGGTCTGCTCGACCGCCTCCAACGTTCCAGTCTTGGCTTCATCCAGCTTTCGTTTCTTGCTATTCTTTGACCCTCTCGAGTTTTCAAGACCAGGAGTAGAAGTGATCGAGAACTTGCCAATCATTGACTCTTTCGTGTCTTGCGCCAATGCTTCAATAGCCACTGCAACGTCTGGCTGTGCACCTCCATTCTGCTGCTGTGCTTTTTTCTTGCTCTTCTTGTGACGGAGTTTACTCTTGGTAGCAGTGCTTGACAACCACGGGTTCTCTTCACCATGTACAGTTGGCTCCACATCAACGTCTTTGGTCTTCACCTCTGGTCGAGACTTCTTAGCTACATGTGTAGACTTCAGAGCAGCGGTCTTCTCGACACCGAGTTCAATAACCTTACTCGCATCCGTGTCGTCTTTGTCGGAGACCGTGACGGTGCTACCACCTTCACCAAGGTCAATGGCAATCACACCTGAAGCACGAGCTGACACGCCACCAGTCATGCTCACGTTAGATGTTTGCAACGCTCCTCCAGCGAGAGCCTGATCTACCACTGCCTTGTCCTTATCAGTCACCACCACGTTCGCTTTTGCCTTCGTGACACGTTTACGCTTTGTTGCAACAGCACCTTCCTCACCAGAGCTAAGGTAGTCATCACCCTCGGAAAGGATGCGATCACCATCACCACCGTCGCCTGTTCGAATCTCACGAAGGAGCTTCTCAGCCTCAGCCCGAGCCTTTTCACGCTGCTTCTCAGCTGCACGTTGCATGAACTTCATTCCCTGAAGACCGCGCTTCTTACCAGCTTCCTCGGTATCTGCATCGATCTCCATGACCAAAGCATTCGCTTGACGTTCCAACCGTTTTTGCAGGCGCGAAGCCGCGTCACCTTCATCATCATCACCTTCATCGTCATCGACATCCAACTCATCCTCGTCATCGTCATCGACAGTGTTCATCTTTCGACGCAACTCCTCGCCACGACGGAGTTGATCAGCAATAGCACTACGCGTCGCATCATCTGCTTGGATACCACGACGCAGTTGGTGCTTCACCCACTTGCTCGTATTACGATGCTTGAGCGTGAGTCGTTCTTCTGCACGCTTATCTGCCAGCTCTTCGTCTAGCTTACGTGCTAATTCCGGATCAAGTGCACGTAGCTCTTCCTTCTGCTTTGCCACAGCCTTCTTGTCTTGTGAATTACGGATCTTGTGATACAGCTTGCTCTTGATCTTCTTGACACGCTTCGTCTTTTGTTCCTCGTAGAACAGCAGTGAGCGCAGTTTCGAGAGCTCCTTCTGTCGTACAGCCACTTCTTCAGTCGATACCTGCTTCCGTGCGAGCTCCTCTTCCTCATCCTTGGCCAGTTTCTTGTCGCTCAAATCACCAGCTTCCAGTAAAGCCGCAACGCTCTTCTCCATCTCTGTCTGAGGAACAAACTTGCTCGTCAATGCAGCAGGCGTCAACTTCTCCAGCTTCGGGGCTTGGACACGCAGATCCAGCGTCTCCTTCTGTCGATTGCGACGCACAACAGGCTCAAAGAGATCCATGTCTTTGGTCTTTTCCACGTACACCAATTTTCGCTGGGCACGCGCATCTTGCACGGCATCTCGATTAGCCTGGAGCGTCAGCGTCGTGCCATCCCCTTCCAGTTCTCTCACCTGCTGTCTAATGCGTCGCAAGTCCAGTCCCGTCTTGGTCTTTTCTTGAGCCTCCCCACCTTCTTCGCCTTCAGCAGCTTCAGCTCCTGGCTTCACTGTCTGCGTAGTAAGCAGACTGCCAAGCGTCAGCTCTCCATCACCTGTTTCACTGGCGAACTGCGAATCAATCTCGGCTACTCTCTTCCTGCTCTTTGGCGCCACCAAGCCGTCCACCAATTTGCTCAAATTCTTCACCTTCTCCTCCTCATCATCACCATCATCTTCTTCAGCAGCAATTGACAGTCTAGTAGAAGCTGCAGTACCCAAAAGGTCCGACAGTAACTCTCCGTCTTCACCTTCTCCATCTTCTCCTCCTCCTTCATCTTGTTCATCGTTTTTGTTCGTCTTTTTTCCACGAAAAAAAAGACCGTACGCAGCCTCGTCGTCGCTATCAAACGCCTCGTCTTCGTCTACTTCCGAGTCGTTGTCCTCCTTTCCAAACGTCGGTTCTTCGTACTCAAACACTTCGTCCACGTCTGCACGGGCGTTCATGGTACGCTCCTGGTTCGCAGCTTCTTCGTCGTCGTCACTAAACACGTCGTTCAGTTGACTACGGCGGCCTTTTCCTCGCTTCCTCTTCCCTTGAGTAGCACCACTATTGGCCTTGTCATTGGCCTTGACGCTGGAAGACCGAAGGACCTTCTTGCCTTTACGTGCTGATGCTTGACGCGCCATTATGGACCAAGAGCTACGAATGACAAGGGAATGGGTGGTCCACCGGCGTTCCCACTAAGTCCGATGTGATTGTGTATACACTTCCTCGAATACATCTGTTTCCACAGTATCAGCTACTGGCTGTTGGCTATCATTGGCTGGACTGACAGACGGCTGGCTGGCTGGAATGGAGACACATGGGAGTCGACTTGTTGATGATAGTAAAGAGCGAGACTTGTGCTTTATCTTTCTTGCTCCGATGATAGGAGGCGTTGCTGGCTGGAAACGGTTAAGGCTTGTTGTTCCTGCGCAGTGCAACAATTGATCTAGTGATTGGATGTTTCACGACTTTCTAGCTGATAAAAATAGAGCTCAGGCTTAGAGCTTCGAGGTGTTCGAGAGCGAGTTGATGCTGGTGTTGTGTAGGAATTTCGACTCGAAGCAAAACAGTACGTGGGCTGTCTATAATGTACCATCCACCTCTGATCTAGTCTCGTGCAGAAGCATGTGTAGAAGCATCGTACACACATCCAGTCGACAAGAAGCCGCATCGGTCTCTATCTGTGTGCCGCACGTCAAACGGTGCCGCCAAAAACGCAGGACACCCCGCATTGCGATGCGTTCTCATTGATCAGACACAGCAAGAACGAAGGTGACCGATGCTCGGAGAGCAGCTTGACCCTTTCATGTCCGCAAGAACAAAACATCCGTCCAAATGTTGTACACGGACACTAACACGTCGACCTTTGTACTGGTGCAAATGATCTATACAACTGCAGTGACCATCAACAGTCGGACGCCATTCGTCACTCCTCACCACACAAATGTGATGGCTACCAAGTCATTGAAGAGACCACTAGCCTGCACATCCTTCAATCCGCAGGTTCTTCCGTCATAGATAAATAATGGCCCCTTTACTACCGGAACAGTGCTGCAAAATATCAACGACAAAGCTGATATTTCGCAGCAGTATTGTATTTCACAGGATATGGGTTGTCTCTGACGGCGGGATGTCGACCTCATGTTTTGCCACGATCTGAGCCATTTTCTTCACATTTCGTGTCCATTCAACACTGTGCCACCCATCCGCTCGTCGGACAGTCTCCACGCATTATGCTCAGTCTGCAACACCCCTCCTGTAACCTCCCACAGAATTCGCTCGCTATGATTTCGCCCTTGAAGGACATTGTGGTCGCCACGGTGCTTGGCCTCGGCTGTGGTCTCGTCTGGAACAAGTTCAAGGACGGCGAGATGGACCGCATCAGTCACTTCTATCAGTGGTACGACGCCCAAGACGCGCCAAAGAAGCACTCGGACGACTAGAGACGGCAGTGCAGCGAGGGTGTCATCCCTCCCGAACGGTGACGACTCGTACCGCAACTACTCGTTAAAGTACGACGTTTGGTACTGGTAAAACCTAGCGATTTCCGCTCGTGTCACTGACGATCAAAGAAGGAGGTAGAAAAAAGGGTGTCGAAAAAAACCATTTGATAAATAAAGCGCTTGCTTTTCGAGTCAGACACGTAGTGACTTCCGTTTTGATTGCGTATCACCTCGCTATGACGCAAAAGAGTTCTGAATGCAGTGCATAATCGTGGTTAAATCTGTCGAGCTTTTTGCTGCTGTATCGTGAGGTAGTCAATTGTCCGTCTTTGCTTTGCATGACGTCAGCTTGGCAGCAGGTTTTAGCGTCCACTGACAAAGATAAAAGGTTTGTGGTAGTCGTGGAAGTGATAGGAACTGTTTTCTTTATCAAAGATGTTTGTGCGCTGTGTGATCCGTCGGTACGAACAATTAGGCACACGATTCAGATGTTATAGCACCTCTCGACTATCACCACGACCAGTGGTCGTCTTAAAGTTTCGTGATAAACCTGGCGCACCGTCACGCGTTGCTGCGGCGTGGTGGTGACCAATCTCTCTCACGACAGCAACATGATCTCTGGGCTCTAAGTGCTTGCCAAATTTTACGCATCAACTCCTTCGAGTTGTGCGCAGCCACATTGCTAGATGTGATCGCCTCTTGCGTACAATTTGTCATCAAGATCAACTACAGCAGCCGGACGTCCATCAACAAGTCCCTCTCGTCGAGCGTTGCATACGCTTTGCCTACCACAAACCACGGTCGGTATCATATGCCACAGTCCATCATAGGAGCGAAAGCGATATGCTTCTTCAGTTTGCTATGTGACACCAAGAGCAGACAAGTCATTGCGATGTAACAATCAACAGTCTCGGGTAGTCAATAATCATTTCTTTCGCGATTGTCGGTAGCAATACGAACGGGAAGATGAGCTCCCTGCCTCGTAAGTTATTTATTATCCCCCCTCGACCAATGAGAATCGATACACTGCGCTGCCTTTTTTGGCTACTGCCACACTGACTTTCTACCGCTCGACGCCCGCCATGGGCGATGTGATCCGCGTGCTGCTCTTGAACCCCGTGACGAGCGTCACGTCGCTCGTGTGTCTGCAGCGTCCGCTGGAGTGGGAGAGCGTGCTGAGCGACTTTTATCAGGTCATTACGAACTCGGACGACGAGCCCGCGCCGAGTATTTTGGCCAAGTGCAAAGTGCTACTGCACCCGACCAAGTCAAAAAGCGAAAAAGGAGTTGTGGTGTGTCTGTAGTTTACGTGGCTTTATAGTTTACTTACCGTTTTTTTATTTCTTCCTCGATATGATCAGTTGTGACGGATCTGTTTTTGTGTTCGAACGCTTACTCAATGATGATCTGACGATAGGTTCGCAAAAGTGCACTGAATCGGTCGATTCGGGATGGAGATCTCTTGTCTCTGGAAGGATTCCAGCTCAATGAAGCAACCGGACCTCCTCCTGAACTGCTGGATATAATGGAGACGCTGGATTTCCATGACTTGGACGCTGAGTTGGCTCCGTCTGATACGGTCAAATGCAGTGATTCCACGGTAACCAACAAGTCGGTACTGGAGACGGTACCGTCTTGTTCTGTATCAACCGTGGGTGCATCTCGAGGCAACTCACGCCAGTCCAAGCGAGGACGCAGTCTCTCGTCCAAGTTCTGGCTCGTGAACAAACTGGCAGCCAGTGGCAAGATTAGTAAAGAGCAGAAAGATTCGCTCAAGATGCTGCTCATTGCATCGGACGACTCGGCGCTGCATCAAGCTTTCGAGCAGTATGAAGAGACGGGGGACTTGGATACGCTGCTCAATTTGCATGTGAACTCGAAGAAGTCGTTCGTGGGTTTGCCTCCGCTGTCCACGGAAGCTTTTGACTTCCAGCTGACGCAAAACATTGAGAACGAGTTGGATTTGCTTTCCATGCGAAGCTTCCACGTTGGTGGAGGCGACACGTGCTCTCCGGTTAGTGAGGCGCTTTCATCTGGTACGCTGTTACCGGCAAGGCCGACGACGAGTGCTGTTGCTTGCAACGAGCCGATTCCGTTTACCAACTCAAATGGCGACGTTGTGGACCCGTTGGACGCCTTGTTAGAGTCGACGTTGGACTCGCTGCCTATGCCAATTGGTCATGGTGACGGACAGAACTTGCCGTCGGCACTGCCAGGTGATTTGCACGGCATGGAGGAATGGCTGCAGGATTAGAGAGAGAGACACGTGTGGAAAACCAACAAAGTGTACCGTGGCAGTCGAGAAGTCCAACTGGAAATAAAACAAGCAAGCGAGGAACGAGTCGAGCACCTGAGTGTAAGCTGCCAAGCAAGCAAGTGAGTAAGTGAACAAGTATCTGGAAGTTTGGTGTATAGCTGCTGCTACTCTGTGCTCTGGTCCATTGGTTCAAGCAGGTTTGTCTACCAGCCAGGCGTCTCTTTTGACTCCCACACGTCCGTAACGTGTGGACCTTTGGACGCATCTAGTGGCGTGTCCTTGAGAAATTGCTGCCGCTTTTCCTCGTCCATCATGCTGGATCGAAAGCACAGGTACATGTTTTTCCACGTGAACTTGCACTCGTCTACTTGGCCGTACCGGTAAAAGTGCTCCATTTGGTTCCCAGGCGCTAGAGTATTGGTCCAAAAAACAAAAACGAAAAGCGATGTTAAAAAAAGTGCTTTTGAGGGCAAGTAAAAAAAGCGACTTTTTCGTTCGTGCGGCCCAGTCGTAGCTGCTACTTCACAACGTACTGACGCAGTAGAATGAACGATCGAGAAACCATCGACATGGCAGTTTCGTGTCCGTCTGTCCGGCCACGTTCTGCTTGAGCTTCTCTTCGTGCACGTACCGAGCCGTGCGCTCGGCATTCGACGTCTTGGAGTCCATTTTGGCAAATGGTTTGTTACTTCAGAAGGGATAGGGTCTGCGGTGTTTTACCGGTTTAAGCTTGTCGATACCGAACAGCATGTTGTAAATAAAGCGCTCTATTTTCTGATGGATTCATGTGGATGCGATGAACAACATGATGAAAAGGGCAAAGAGCTATTCTCTAATGCTTGTAAATTATGCTGCAACTTGTACCGATTCGGCACATGACAAGTTGGACCGAATGCGTTAGGATAGTCACGTGCCGATTTCGATTCGACTTCGACGCTTGTCGTGGAGGCGCTGAATGGCTGAACCCTCGATTGAGTTTTATACAGTGGCAACGAACAAGTATTCAAATATGTTCGAGCAGTAAAAGCTTAGCGCGGTGTAGCAGATTGTACGATGCGACAAAAAACTTTTCGACGGGATAGTTGCGAGCTGTTTAACCGAAGAGGTGAAGCAGAAACATGTTGTGACATGTGAAGATGACAGCGTCAGTGTCGGTAGTCGTGGCAGATTCTGAGCAGCCGGACACGAAAATAAAAGGCGGAAATGTAGGTGACACTGTCGCCATTTGAAAAGAGCTCAGGATCTGATCATGTGCGAATCCCGTCTCACTTTTTTCTACCAAACGTGCAAAAAGTGAATCCAAACGACATGATGCAGCCAGTAAAAGACACCGTGCTGTCAAATTATCAGCCTCGACCAGTTACTTTTCATTTTGCACTGTCATTAGCAGACGTGGGTGCACGCTTCCCTGGTCGACACCGACACATTAGTGTTCACCACACCAAATTCGACCCACCCAAACTACAACAAACAGCTCAGTCGTCGCTTTTTTTCATTAAAACCCAACTGTTGATTTGTCATTGTTCACAGCGTGCGTGCCTTCTTCACTCTCTCTCTCTGAAGTAGCAACAAGACAAGCCCCGCTCCTGTCTACCACCGCGTGAGCTCCGCGCGCTCGTGTGCCAGCGTCTCGGCCTCAATGACCTTCTCCGACAAGTAAAAGTCCAGTGGACGCTGAATAGCCTGAATCTCGTCCGGTAAGTAGCTGCGCTTGAGCGAACAGTCCGCCGCGCGGGCGATGCGCTTGGTCCGCGCCTGATAGTCCTCGCCCTTGACCCAGTGCATTGCAGTCTGTACCGCGGCCGTGTCGACGAGCGCGTCGTCGTACTTAAGGCCGTACATGCCGAGCGTCTTGCTGACCGACTTCTGATACAGACTCGCAACTTTCGAGACGAGACTCATTTTTTGTATGGGCGTCGGTCGACTCAAGTGGATGGAAAATCGAAGACTGAGCGACATGGACTCGGGAACACCGCACAAAGGGGTGCACATGAATGGTACATGAAAATAGGCGATGCAGGACGCAATGTGTGTGGTCCACACTACCAACGCGTGCTCTTCCTTCCTTCACACACAGTCCCTCCGTGGTCTATTCGTTTTCATGACGGAGGTTATGTAGAGTGTCATAGACTACGTCATAGTGGAACCACTTTTTTGCATACCGTCTACCTTGACTGCTTGCTCGTCCACGACTTTTGTTTCATACATACATCAACAACAGCGATCGTTATGAGAGCAAGCACACCACTGGTAATGAATGCGCTACGTGCCGATAAACAGCCACTATGTCAACTGGATCATCCACGTGCATATGACAACAAAGGAAAGCACGTCCAGCATTAAACACACACATACACCTTGAGTTTAAGCTGCCGGTTCCCACACCCCACACATTAGTTGCACTTGTTTGTTCCTCCCTTCCGTCTTGTACAATGTGTGAGGGACTCTGTTATTCATTTACGCCTTGCCAAGAACCGGCTGAAGCCCTTGATATCGTAGAACGTTCGACCAGCGTAGGATTGGCGAGTGGCTGTAGGCTCTTCCTCGTGGATATCGAGCTCCAACGTTTTGTACATCCACTCGAGGTCAGCATCCGACATCTGCGTGAGCGCCCACCAAAGAGTGAATCCGTAATTTGGTTGCTCCAGCAGCTGGCGCAATGCTGGCCACGAATGCCGCACACTTGTCGCGCGTAGTGGAAACGTCACGACAAATCGGTCTCCATATGGCTGCAATTGACGCAGCATAGCGTCAACCATGTCGTGCGAGTACTTATTATCATACACGTCTTGGTCCTTGCCATTCACGGTGGTCCAGCCAACTGAAAGCACAAGTTTGTGACGATGTTTTCCATTGTCAATGGCGCCAAGATCATCAAAGTGTTTCAAAAACGTTGCAGCATCAAACGCCACGTCGCCCAAACTCTCAGGTCCTGGCAAGATGTCAGCATTGACAAAGACACTGCGAGTAAATGGATACTGCGCAACAAACGTTGCCAGCAAGTCCAATGAGGCCTCGAATGCCTGCTGGCTTTTAAAGTCGCATTTCACAATGAATGGCGTATCGTCGTGGCTCGTCATCGAGCCCGCAATGTCCAACATGGTCTGTAAAAAGTCGACAAATGTCAAGTCTCCGTTCATAGCAGGTGGGTGACCCATGACCGGAGTCTGCTGCTCCTTGTCCCAAATGACATCGGCCTCAATTGCATTCACGACATTTGACGTCGCAAACTGCTGCTTTTCGGCACATTGAATCTCCTCTTGCACTGTGGCAAGCAAGGCACGGGAATTGATGGCGTGTCCCCATCGATAGTGTAGCGGGATCATAGCCAAGACGGACGAGAATGGAATTTGGACAAGTGTCTCTGCTGCAGGAAGATCGGAAATGGAGATGGGTACACGTGGGACTCGTAAACTACACACGTCAGTAGTGTGACTACTACTACTAGGCAGTACTGAACTCAGACGTGAGCTGGTAGTCAATTCTTTTGTCACGATTCTCAGCGACTTGGAAAAGACGAGTCCGGTGGTAGTCAAAACAAAGAGCCAGTGGATTCGCATTAGTAATAGCACATGTCGGCAGTCGTCAGCTCGTTTTTCTTCTGGATGTGATGATGATACCGTTGATATAGTTGAAGTGAGGAAACGCTTTTCTTCGTGTAAAAGGATACAGGAACAACGTCTGCAGTATCTTAGAAACCGGCGACGACTAAAAGTCCGTGCCTTGATGTTGCAACTCCTGCTCGAACCGTCAAGAGCTTCAGTGCAATACGATTCCTACCAAAGTAGTTCAGAAGTAGCGGAAGAAAAGGAGGAGGAGAAGGGAATCAGAAGCATACATTACTACCTGCATGGCTCTAGCCGAAAGCGGAAGCGATTCTGCAGAGTCTCATCGCTATGCAAAGACGCCTCATTTGTGGACACTTGGCGTAGGAGCTGTCATCAGCGGCAACTTCTTTGGCTGGCAGACGGGTCTCGTGGCTGGTTTCAACGGCTTGCTCGTCAACTTGTCTCTTGTTACAGTGCTTTACGTTCTGCTGGCGTTCTCGATTGCTGAGCTCGCAACGACTGTGCCATCCGGTGGCGGTCCCTATGTCTTTGCTTTGCATGCCATCGGTCCTCGCGCTGCTTTCTTCGCTGGACAAGCCGAGAGTCTGAAGGTTGTCATCACTTGTGCTGTGATTGTCACGGGTATCAGCTCGTTCATGAACCAGCTGCTAAACTTGAGCTCCGACTACGGACCGATCTGGTGGACTCTTTTCTACGTGCTCTTTGTCTCGCTCAACATCATTGGCGTCGAAATGACCTTCCGCGTGCAAGCGTTTACGACAGTAGTGTCAGTGATCATTCTGCTCGTATTTTACGTTGGTGCAGCTACGAAAGTGTCGTATGCAAAATGGGTCTCGGACGTCAATTGGGAGTACCCTGGAGGTTGGGATGGTGCAGTCAAGGGCTACTCGTTCGCTTTGTGGTTTTTCTTAGGGATCGAGGAGCTGCCACTTGCCGTTGAAGTGACGATCGATCCAAGTCGCAACCTACCAATTGGGCTCATGACGTCCATCTTCACACTCGTATTTCTGGCTTTTTGCACCGTCGTCTTCAATTCAATGATTTACCCTGGAGCTGAGGATATCTACAATAGTGCATCACCGCTGCTAACGGGATACCAAAGCGTCTTTGGTGACAACAGCACAACATCGGGATTTTCCTGGATGCTGCTTTTGGGCCTCATTGCGAGCTTCCACTCGTTCATCTTCTGCATGGGTCAACTGCTATTCGCAATTGCTCGGGATGGATACTTACCGCACATTCTCACTCGAATACACCCGACGCGAGGTACCATGTATGTATCGTTGATTGCTGGTAGCAGCGTGGGATTCCTCGTTGTAATGGTGCTTCACTTTGTTATCGGAGATACTCGTCTGGGCTCGGTGATGATCAACCTCGCACTGATAGGTGCTGTGATTTCGTATATCTTTCAGCTGACCTCATTCATTCGACTTCGCATCAAAGAACCAAGTCGAGTTCGCCCGTACCGCAGTCCATTTGGCATCCCTGGCGCTCTTGTGTCGATGAGTTTGTGTGTCGCTGGAATGGTGTCGATCATTTACAGCGGAACGTCCAGCTACGAGTTTCTAGCCTCCATTATCGTTGCTATCCTGTACTTTTCCATCGGAGCCATGTACTTCTTCACTCGTGTACAACCACGTGCTAAAGCACCGCCATCGGCGATACATCATCTGGACAACGAGTCGGATAGTATCGAGTTTTCCTATCAACCAAATGGTGTCTGATGAATCTCGTGAAAAGTTCTGTTCCCGAATCGGCAAGTTGAAGTCATGAACTACTTGATTATAGAATAGTTACATCAACAACCTGAGAATAAGTGATAGCGGCGAAAAGTAGGTAAAGATAAACAACAACATGTTGAACGACTTGACGATTTAATGGACGAAACCAATGCACAGGTTGGTTGATAGCACTTCTTGGCTCAGTCGCTTGCGATGGGATGGGGACAACCATACGAATATCTTTAACAAGCCTTGACCATGAGAAAAAGTACTCGAAATGGTGATTAATGAAGAGAGTACGTCAAAAAAAGTCATGAATACGAGCGCTGCGTTCGTTGTGCGATAATGCGGCGACTGCCCAGTGATTGAAAGATCAACTGACTCTGTTGCAGTCGGAACCAAGTTGTGCAACCGATGCAACAGTCCCGAGCACGTCTGTCACGCACTTGTTGGAAACCGCAGGATACGCTCGTTCGGTCCATAAGACAAAGACATCTCGGATGTTTTTCCCTTTCTCAACGACCAGCTATAGCGAACGCTTGCAACGCTTTCGATCGATTCGTGTGATCAGTTTCGCACCATCAGTAAAGAAATAAACAACGTGAGAGGTGGTTCGTGTTTAGAATGCTCAGAGGATATCTATAAACTCAGCACGTGGATCCACTCACCCGGCAGGTCATAGACTTGTTCAGGTCCAACGCGCAGTAGCAATTGACGCTTCTACCTACATGAACATGTGGCATACTTTTACACTCGAACGATTCTAGACCCCAAGACTAACGGCTGATGCATCACATAGTGCACTACCTCCGAGTTGCAGTTGACTCAAGTTTGATGTACCACCTTCTTCTTTCAGGGCTCGCATCTTTGTCTGCACGCGTCGAATCGCATACCGTAGTTCAGCCGTGCTTACCCACTGCAGCAGCGTGCGTTTCCGAATCGCGCAGTCGCACATTTGCTTTGTGTGACGCAAGCACGATAATCGATTGGGATGGCATGCACAGATAACACCCGAAAAGAAAACATTGTGCTTGCACAAGAAGCACTGCCGTACGTCATCCACATCCATGGACTGCTCGTCCAGCATAACATCGCCGCTTAACTCCTCTACATTCTGTAACCCTTCGGCAAGAAAAGCCTTTTTGTATCCTCTCTCCTCGTGAAACAACCGCCGCAACTCTCTCAGCAACATCTCACAGTCCGCAACGGAATACCCATCAAGACTTTGCGTCGACCCGAAGTGGAACACGAATCGATCGTGCGAAAAGATAGATACTCGTCCGTAACTACGGTACATCTCGACGCACTCTTTTCCAAAGTCGATCCAGTTTGGCAGCACAAAGTTCACAGCTTCGTTGCAATTAAAGCCTTCGCTAAAGCCACTATGGTACGCCTTGGGAAAAGTCAGAATAATTTCTCCAGGCTCTTGAAAAAGTGTGAATACTCTCACACCTCGATCTTGCAGAACTGATGGAGCCACCATAGTAGTTAGATGCAGAAGCAAATCCGGGCTCTCCCGGAAACGCTCGGGCACTTGCGTCCTCATTACAGCCTCAAACTTTTCAGCATCTGAGGAAGGAATGCCGTACCATCGCTTCTTGGCACCAAAGTGGTGGTAGTTAATGCTCGACATGTAATTGTCTTCGGCATGCCAGCAGAATGATGCAAATAACATACCGCAGTACAACCACGGCACGTTAATGCCATTGATTGCCGCACCTAAATGACGAAGCAGCGAGCCATACGCATCCGGGAGGTTGTTCAGGTTCCATCCAGTATTTCGATAGTATTCCGGATTTGTAAAGTCAATTGCTTCCCGTCCTGTGTGCACGATAAGCATATATTGTCAGTTGCAATGATGACAGCGAGCAATGGAAGTAGCTTCGCTATACCTTTTGTCGCCTGAGATGCGAACCGCTTGCTGGAGCGCAGAAACCCGCTGCCAACTTGCGCAATATCAAGGTCATTGGCGTATTCCACCTACGTACCAATTCATCGTCCACCATCAACTTCATGCTTCGCCATGATCACCTCCCAACATTCCCCAGACATGGCTTACCTCAGTACGAGGTCCTCCCATCTGGACAACTCGCCAGTACTCCTGTTCAACCTCATCCGACGTTGTTGTTGTCGGGTCAAGTCCCCTCGAACTAAACCACCGCTTCCGAAAAGCGTCAGCATCTCCCCGGAACGACTTGAACGTGTGCGTTCTGCCTTTGCCATATGCACGTCCTTCCTGCAAAAAAGCATGCCCAATAGACACCGACAATACACACGCATCTCCATCAGTATCCAACAACCTCTCAAAAAAATAAAAGATCCCCCACGACCAATCGTGGCAACAACCTGCAGCTCATGAATTTTCTGCTTTCTCGTGCCAAAATGCACGTGATCGTCTTCTAAATCAATAGCAAAAGTAGGATTCCACCCTCGTGGAGGAACGATCTTGCAGATGCCCGTACGAGCAGCTTCGTGCTCAATACTGAACAAAAGATGACAAACACCGACACATAGAGCACCCAAGTGTTACATCTCCACACCTTTTTGAAACACACCTGAACCCTAAAGTCCATTTAACCAGAAGAGGCAAATGGAAACCACTGGCTGTTGGCTTGTACCTTGCAATGTACTTGATCGGATCAGCAAATTGCTCTTGAGTGGGGTAAAACACAGCTCCATGTGGCAACGGCACCGACTTGTGCTCCATTTTCGTCTCAACAATTGACTTGGCTAGTGCCAACTTCAACATCTTTTTCACCGCGCGGGAATCAGAAGCCGGCAGTTCTGAGTCGGTGCGTCTTTTTTTGCACCGGCTACTGCGGCGAGCTGTACCACTTAGAGTGGTACCACTGGGACGCGGCCGTTGCGTGCATTCCTGCAAGAGTGTTTCTGGGCGAGATGCCATGGAGTCTCGAGATGGCGCGAGCCAAGTGGACGAGAGCTGATTATGGTGCAAGTGAGGTTCAGGTGACGTCGAGGGGTTCGTCATAAGTCCCCAAGTGGCGGTTGTACTGGAAGTACAAGTCTTGGTAGTTCTAGTACTGATTTCGTAGTAGTAGCAGTTGTTGTTGTTGTATGGGAGGTCTCGTATACTAAGTTTAGTACGAGGAGGAAAATGTCGGCACAATTTGTTGCGAGCGGGTCGTGGGTCACTTGATTTGTGGGCAAAAGCAAGACAGACGCTGAATGGATAAAACGACGACAAACCGCCGACTTTTCGCCTACTAAAGTGTGGAAGCAGGGAACTGCGGAAGAACATACCGGTATTCGAGACGACCTATCGCGTGGAATACTTCACAGAAGAAAACAACGGCCGAATAAGCTAACCCCACCCCCCACCGTTCTATAGCCTTGGATACGTGTTACGTAATACATACGACATGACAACTGCTCAGACGGTCATGACGATAGCACGAAAAAAGCGCCCGAATCGGTTACAAGTGGGATATCAAACGTTGCGAAGTCACATCTTTTCCATCGTATGGGTAGACTTCAAGAAGAGCACTACTGGACAAAGTACTGCACGTGCAGATCGTTGAACGAGGTTCACAGTCGGTGGTCGAGGGGAAGATCTCGATAGTACAAAGACGATGGATAAAGCTTCTGCCACTCGGCTTCTTTCCACCGTGTAAAGTGGGCATTTCGTGTGTACTTTTACGAGCGAAAAAGTGATGGAGATACTGGCATCGTATCCCGTATGGGATGTGCATCACCTCGCTGCGAAGGATTTGGCATGATGTAAATACCAAATCGTGCTCGTGCCAGCTGCCGCGATCTGTACTATCTGCATTGAGTAAGCGCATTTGTATAGACTCAACATGAGCGGTGGCTTGTAGAATGCAGGAGAGTCTAGCCATCATGCATCCACGAATTGGAATCAGACCCTAGTGGGCCACGGACATGCTTGCAGCGGAGCCATTCGAATCGAGTCGCGAGTGACGTGGTTTTGGTGTTCATGTTGCCGCCCACTTGGCAGCAATCGACGCGAGTTCATGGGATTACTAAAAGAGCAAGCAAATGGGTGGCCGACGACATGTGGTCGCACTTTACAATTTCGATTGTCCGTCGTCGGTATGAACTCTCATCGTCCCATCGTACGACATCGCACTTAGCTACTTTCCGCGTCCTTCTCAGTGTACGCATCCCGGCCACTGTCACGCGAGTGGACCTTGTCACTTTTTGTCATGGCGTTTGTATGCTCGGCGGTTGGACGAAGCAACTTTTGTCTTCGATCTTTTTCCGTCGACAAAAACGGTTGGCCACATACTGAGCGCAAGTCAAAAGCTTAGGCCGTTGGCGCTACGCTGAGACTCACGTCAACAGCTACCGCCATTAGCTCACACGGTAGCTCAGTATCGATAAGAATCGTAAATTGATCGACATCCTCATCGTACTACTTCACTAGTCTGGCGTTGACATGCAAGGTCCATCGAGTCCGTGCAACTCGGAGTTGCACCTGCATCCGTATGAAAAGCTCCAAAAGGAACGCAAACCTGTGAGCAAATGGACCGAAAGAGAGGATCTTATGATGCTCAAGCTCGTGCACAAGTACGGCACTCGTCACTGGACGGTCATTGGCACGAAATTGCCTGGACGCAGTGGCAAGCAGTGCCGTGAAAGGTAGGGCAAAGTCCATGACGATGGTAGTAGCAAAGTGCACAAAAGCTGTAAAAGATGGACTCTCACTGCTGTGTTGATCGTTCGGAGTGCTCTAGGTGGCACAACCAACTTGATCCGGCCATTCGGAAAGAACCGTGGACAGCTGAAGAAGAGCGCGTTCTGAAGGAATTGCACGACAAGTTTGGCAACAAATGGGCTGACATTGCCAAGCTGTTGCCTGGACGAACGGACAACTCGATCAAGAACCACTGGAATTCCTGCAAACGACGACATAAGCGGGGAATCGCACCACCAAAGACGTTGCAGCGTAAACGTCGTGAGAAGACTGTATCGGAGATTACGTCTTCAGGAAGCGTGTTGCCACTGACGTCGGCAATGGCAGTCGAAGTTCAAGACGTATACCCACTCGCAACGCTAGGGACAAACCGCCAGGCTAGTTGTCCTGCGAGTACTTTCCTACAGTCATCGCTTGCCATTCAAATGGCACCTCCTGGTAGTCCACACGATAACGCGTTGTGCTGGACGCCAACTGATGCAGCATACAACCGCCCAAGTACCTGGTGGGGTATCCCTGCCATGCCAAATCGGACTGTAAATGGCCTTGTCCATCCTCTCAGCACAACAGCGACAACGATTGAGCCAAGAAGTACCAAGCTGGCATCAGATCGAGTACCTGTGATGAGCGGTAAGCGGCTCATGGAAGACATGGGCGAGTCTGAAGAGGTGCTGTTGTCACACAGTGCAAAAGAGATGCATCCGAAGGAAGAGGATCCATCGCTGGAGATCCTGGCCAATGCTGCACTGCTGCAGGCGATTGGCCATGTCGTGTAGGCCAAGTGGAGCGTATTTGTTGTAAGTGTGATGGCAGCTGTAGCGCTATGGATGACTGTCTTTTGTGGTAATTGAATGGCATTTAGTAACTAAGAAACATTCCCGGCGCTCACACATTGGCGTAGTTGTCGAGGAAGCGCTTCCTTCATTCGGAAAGACTCTGACTGCAGGTTGATAAGTAGCTACTATCATTGTGCCTAGGGCATGCAACTCGCGGTAGACCTTGATTCTGACTTCAGGCCAAATCCTAAAAGCATCACGACATCTGGCGCGTCTCTCCGTTGTCACCGGCTTTACATTTTACTTCTTTCCACTATGCGACTTCTCCGAATGCCGTTGCACAGCCTCGTCTCGACTCGGTCGCTGTATACCGCGAGTCCCGATCCGCCGGATACACCTCTCCTCCAATTCCATCCAATCAGCTCGCGTCTTTGTGACCCCCTAACGTCTGCTCTATTCACGGAGCCAGCCCTCTCCCCTCCCCTAACTTTTAAAGTCAGTGACGCAACCCCCACACAACCTCACTCCACCCGTGATCCGAAGAACGATGCTAAGCCAAGTGGTCAAGCGCAATGCACTCAAGATGAGCGCCGCCAGCCGTCGCGGCATCTCGGCCTCGGCCAAGCGCATGTCGGAAGAAGGCGAGCACCACCAGCACTTGCTGTTTGAAGGCGATTACTCCAAGAGCTTCATCATCGGCATGACGCTATTTGTGACACTGGGCGGTATTGCTGTGCCCGTCTGTCTGTACCGCTACCAGAACTGGAAGCACGGGTTCCCGCAGAACTAATGTGGTACACAAAGAACATGGACGACGAAGCAGACGAGGCGCTTGTGGAGCTGGGAGCTGAATAGGGGCCAAGGATGAGGTCGCTCTTGCGTGGTCGTTTAGAGCTGAACCAGTCATTGTTGCTCCGTTATAATAAAGAGCCATTTGCTCCGTTATAATAGAGTCGAATCAGTCCGTTGTCTTGTTCGTGCTTGTTTAGCGATGGCGACTGTATTTTACAGCACGACTAGAAGTGCGTGTAAGAAAGAGACAGCAATACTGGCTGATGAAGTCCTGCTGGTGTCGTGCTACCATCTCGCCTTGTAGACGTGTCGGATGCCGCCAACTTCTACCTACTCACTCTTGCTACTTATCACCATACACGTGCTGGAAAAAATCCATCTTCTCCACGTGATTCGTCGTAATGGTCTCGTCTCCAGGCTTCCAGTTCGCAGGACACACCTCGTGTGGATGCGACGCAGAGTACTGGAACGCTTTAAGAAGACGCAGCGTCTCGTCGACACTTCGTCCAACTGCGTCATCGTTGATCTGGATCGAGCGGATGATGCCTTCGGGGTCGATAATGAAGAGCCCGCGGAGAGCAGCACCGTACATCTCGTCCTCCTCGTCAATGACGAGCACACCATAGTCCTCAGCGATACGCTTACTGATATCAGCAATGAGCGGGATGTTCATCTTGCCCAGTCCACCTTCAGTACGCGGTGTCTTGATCCAGGCCAAGTGCGTGTGGTGCGAGTCCGTGGAGACCGCCACGACTTGAGCATTGATACTGCGGAACTGGTCGATCCTGTCACTGAAGCTCACAATCTCCGTGGGGCACACAAAGGTAAAGTCGAACGGATAGAACATGAGGATCAGCCACTTGCCCTTGTAGTCACTCAGTGACACCTTTTCGAACTTCTCGTTGACAACAGCATTCACGTTGCGGAAATCCGGTGCAGGTTTGCGGGGCGCTACTGGTTTCAAAGCTGATAACGAGTACCGGTTTGTCTTCTGATACCCGAGCTGCTCCAGTATTGCTTCCGACACGTGCGGGAACTGCCCCTCGACACTGGATGATGTAGCCATTACGAATAGAGACATAAAGTGTTACGGTTAGAGCATGACAGCGCCCGTTCTTTTTGTATCTTTATTCTCCAGTGCGTCGATAGAGCTGCTACCTTTTCTTCGTGCTTGTCTCGGCTTTGATGACGAGCAGGGATATGTGCAGCACGAGGAGCGCGAGCAGGAACGAAGCGTGGGAGACACGACGGTGTTGCATGTCGACCTCGACGCACCACGAAGGTTTGTGACACGTACTTGACCACTAGTGGTGGCGATGATCACTCGATCGTCGACGCCTTCCACATCATCAGACCTTATCCGGCGTACCGGTAAACATTGTGGTGTACCGGTAAACCACCATGGCGTACTGGTCTTTGTTGAGTTGAGGTTGCGTAGTGTAGCTATATAAGATGTGACATTCACCGGGAGCCAGGAGTTTCCAAACTATTTCGTATTCGACACACCATTATGGTTTCCTACATTGTTCAAATGCAAATGGTGACACAACCGCAAGTCATGGATGGATATGAATCGGAATGCGGTCAAAATGTGACGGACATTGCCGTTGCATTGGAGCACTTCAGATGATCACCGCCCTAGAACACGCGTCCGATGGCAGCGATATGTTCGTTGTAGTACAAAAAGATCTATTATGGACATTCACTCTATTCAGTTGAGTCAAGTAAAATGAAACGAGGGTCAATGAGGACCACCTGAGCCAAGTGTTTACAATGAGCGTTCAGCCAGTCAACGGAAGTGCTCCGTGTCGTGCTGGAGAAAGAATATGGCGAGGTTGCACTGGAGGCGTTAGTGGCCACTATAGGTGACCGCAGAGTTCAGACAGTGTTACTTGACGATTGTAGGGTAGTTCAATGCCAATGTTTTTTGTCTGTGCTTTGGATACCTCATAAGTGGCGCCAACACGACGGTCCGATGTACTCACATCTTCTTGTGATCGAACGGCGACGGATGAATGCTGAACAACGTGGTACAGGGACTTTCCTGATCATTCGGAGCACTGTAGGGTCTACGATCCGTATGTTAAACCGTAGTGGATCACTGCCTGGAATCACAAATATGTAATTTGCCACTACTACGGCTACAAGATGCTGCTACTGCTGCTTGCAGAAGCACACGTGCGGGTATGTAATGCTAGAGAGTGCACCTGTAAAGTGCCAGCACCTATACAATGTACCTGCGTGGCTGTAAAAGATCGTTGCTAAGAGATCGACAGCGTACATCACAACCAACGCACATGGGTGTGATCACCCACTGTATGCTAGGTTGGGAAGGTCTACAAGTAACAAGCCGCGAACGGCGAAGGAACTATCAATATCACGACAAGTACAAATGCAATTGCTAGGATGCCAGTCTTTTGTTACTGATGGTGTCGTCGAAAGGACTTGCATCCACGTCGTCTCAGCTAGCGGGAACCCAAGTTTCCAGCCACCACGTTGCTTTCAATTACTCAATGAATGTAATGGCATTGCTCTTCTACATTCAACGGTTCTACGAGCACAGTGAACCTCAGGATCTCGAAACGCGAGAGCAAACGGAATCACTGGCAGGAGGCGAAAAGATTGGCTGGGAATCGGCTGAGGGTGTGGACGTGGCGTCGGGTCGGGCCACTCGGTACTGTTGCAAACGTCAAACCGGTGTCTCTGACACTGCATAGTTGTCATACTTTATACACCTCCTTCCCATACAGCATACAAATCGTAGCAGATCGGGACCTCTCTAATTAAAAGCGCTGCACATAAACCGACCACGTCAAAGTAAAAACTTGTCCAGCATTGTGTTGTTTTTCCCGCAGACGGCACAAGTCCAATCGCGTGCGCGACCTGTTCCGAACGGCGTGTTTGCCACCTACCTGCAACCGTGTTCCATTAAATCAGTCGCTACTGCACGCTTTATTGCAGTGTAGCCAAGTCTTTACCCACGTCCCAGTAAGTGGCTTCAAAAGGCATCAAAAGGGTCAGCTGTCACGTTTTTATTGCGATTGTAGACACGAATAAGACCCATTTTCGGTGATCATACGAACCCATTTTCTAACAATAAGACCCATTTCCAGGTCCATGAGCGACGGAGACAGTGACTTGGACGCTTTAAACTCGACGATGGCGCTGCCTTCACCGCCCCAATCGCCTCCACCGGTATCACAGCCGTCCCGTGCCGCTCTGTCCAGGTCTAAACACGTCGGCAAGGCCAGGATTATCCAGTCTTCTGTGCTGGCCAGTCGCGACGCGGGAAGACCCAAATTGCGTGGAAAAAAGACCCGTCCGAGCAAAAATGACGAGCGCGCCGTTTTGGTGCCAGAAAGTACCCATTTTTCAGCCCAAAAGAAGGACCTAAATGCTGTGGACGATAAGGAGACGCTCGAGAACTTGCAGGCCCGACCAGCTCATATGTTGAGTGTCGTGGAGCTGTGCAATAACAACAGTGATGAGGATCGAGAGAGTGTGGGGGGGAAACGAGATGCAGGTGGCAGCGGAGCTCCGACGCCCGTGCCGTCGGGTGAAGAAGAAGACGATGATGGTGGGAATGAGAGTGGTGAGACTGTGGACGATGACTGGGCCGACCACAATCGATGGTACTGCAACATTTGCAAAGATGGGGGCGAGTTGCTCTGCTGCGATCGCTGTCCTCGAGCTTTTCACATGAGCTGGTGCGTGCGTGCATTGGAGTAGCTCCCGTTTTTGGTGGTTTTGCGTGGTTGTTTACGTGGTGCTGGAAACAAAGACGACAGGGGTTCGTTGTCTTGTGTGCGTTTTTTCTAATTCCTTTTTGATTTCGGTGGTGGTGTTGTGATTTTGGTTTTGCAGTTTGGGTATGAATGAGGAGATGATCCCGGACAGAGAGTGGTATTGCAAGATGTGCGCGTACGTGGCAAGACTGACGTGGTGACTATTTTTTAGGCTATGCATGACGAGGTTGCTGTTGTTTTGCTGTTTTTGTTGTCTCGGTCTGTGCGTTTGTTTGTTTGTGGTACTTGACAGTGAGTGCTTGGATCGACGGCGTCTGAAACAAGAGTCGAAAGAGAAGGCGCGCGTTATGCGTGAAACCGAAAAACTTGAGCGCGACGCACGTCGACGAAAGGCGGAACAGATGAAGGAGGAGATGCTGACGAAAAAGTCGGTTGAGGCGATTGAGCACAAGGCGAAGCGTGTGTTAGAGATGCAGGACCGTATTCTCAGTCGCAAGAAAATCAAGTATAAGGACAAGGAAGAGGAGAAGCTTGGCAAGATGGCAGAAGAACTGGCCCAAACCGTGAGGTCAGCAAAGGAAAAGCTGGAGAAGCTGGAAAAGGAAGATGCGATCCTCAGACGAAAAGAGGAGGCGCTGAAAAAGAAAAAGCGCGGAGTCAACGATGTCCCGCCCGAGGTTGTTGACGATACCTCGCGCCCTGACAGACCACCGTACGTTCTTTTGTGGCGTTGTTACGTTGGTCACGTGGTGAGCTAATCCTTTCGTGCATTACAGGCCAGTACCATGCGCTTTTGGAGATATCCCGGCGAAGTTTGTTGGGAAAATGCTTGCTGTGTGGGATTGTATTTATGCGTTTCGCAACGTCCTAGAGCTTGCGGATATCACAGTCGACCAGTTTAGCCGCGCACTGAATTACCCAAAGAACTCGGCGATGTTGACTGAGATCCACATGTGTTTGTTGGAGAAGATCTTGGAGGACAGGTACGATGCTGCAACAGTTTTCTTGCGATCGTTACGTTCTGAGCGGATTTATTTTTCGTACATCATGGCAGAGAGGATGAGGACTACATGTCCGACGACGAAGGCTCGATGGACGACAGCGAGCGATACCGATACGAAATCCAGCACGCCCCGTTGACTGTAGGCGTGCCAACACGCTCAATGCTCACCCCGCTCACTTGGCCCACTATTTTGTGCAGCTTAATCGTTGCTGTGCCTCGTTACACAGCACACTCAACATCGACTTTCTTAGCTGCATTCAAAGCGCTGCAAGATATGGACTACCCGGCGCTGCAAGTGCAGCACAAACTGGCTTTGCTGCAATTCCTTGTCGGACGTCTAGTTAATACCGAGAAAGCTCGCCACGTACTCGGTAAGCACCTCAACGAAACGTTGCAACGATCGAAAGAGTACAATCGCGCCGTCATGCTTGACCGGAAGCTCGCGCTTGAGGATGAGAAGAATCTTCGAGAGAAGCAACGAGTCGAGCTTGCTAACATTGCGGAGTCAAGCACAACGTCGATGAAGTCGTGGTTGGGAAGTGATAAAAAAGGTCGAGTCAATGGATACGCGATCTCGGTCGACAGTGGTGAAGAGATCAACAGCGATTTCGAGGGAGACACTGGTTCTGCGAGCGACTCGGACTTGAGCGAGCTTGCTTACAGTGAAGAGGCTCTTTTGCAAAATGAAGAAGAGCTGGAAAAGCTACAACAGCAGGAATTCATCTCTCGGCATGAATACGTTGCGCGGAGGAAGCGACTAGATAAACAGCGCGAACGGCTGCGACAGAAAGCGGAGGCGAAATCGCGCAAACACAAAGTGCAGGAGCAACTCGAGCGTAAGCGGGCGATAGCGAAAAAGAGCATCACGGATGGTTTGACATCGAAGAACGCGATTTTACTTCGCAGTGCTATCGAAAAGGGCAAGGAATGCGGCCTCCCGGACCGTCAGATTGTGTCGGCCACACACGTGCTCGAGAACCTGGATGCCGAAGCCGCCCGTGAAGAGGAAGCTCTGACGAAAAAGCGCAACCTCAGTGCATTGCTGCGCCAGTGCTTTGTTCGGTCGGAGCCGATTGGGCGGGACAGAGACCAGCTGCGTTATTGGGTTCTTCAAGGCGATCGACAACGGCTATATGTTGAAAGGCCAGGTCCACCGGACAAGATAAAGCGCAAATATGAGTCGCTGGCTAGAAGCGGGTCACCGAGGGATGGGTTGGTTCCCGAAGACGATGTCAACAATGCAACGTGGTACTATTACTCTTCCCGAACTGAGTTGGGTTCGTTAATGGAGGCTCTCGACACACGCGTCCTTCGTGAGGCTCACCTTCGCTCAGCTTTGGTGGACTACATTGGAGAGAGCGAAATGTCTGATGTTAAGCCCGGGTTGTTGCTTGCTGATCTAGTGGACGAGGCGGGTGCCAAGAAGCGCTCGCAGCGTACAGCAGACACAGGACCCAATGAGGGAACTGAATTTCTTCAGTGGAGGAACGACAAGCACCCGACACGTAAGGCGATTCAGCATCCAGATCCGAGTGTCGAGTCGTTCCGCGAAGACTTGTTGAAGGGTCAAGACTGGATTTGTAAGTGTCTTCGTACGCTAGGTTCAACTTGGCCAGACCGCCCTGAAAATGGTGGCGCGGCGTGGCGAACGTCCGTACAAGTAATCGACAACATTGACGACATTGCTGGTGCTCTGCTCACCCTAGAGAGTGAGGTGATGTCCGCTCAGAGCAAGCCGAAGCAAAGACCCGGCGCTTTGGTGTCAAGTGCTGCTGCAGTAGACCCGAGCAATGTTGCTGGCTTGTCCGACGAGGTGCACGTTAAAGTCGAGGAGAGGAGTGATGACGACGATGATGACGAAGAGGAGGAAGCTATCGACGCTTTAGTAGACGACGGCACTGCGCTGTGGCCGTCTAAATATTGCCGTGAGCGCTGGATTCAGAATGTGAAGCGTGGAAAGACAGTTGCTGTTATGGCCACTGCTCTGGTCTCATTGATGCATCGTTTGGAGGTGCTTGGCTTCGTGAACGCGTCGAACGAAGATGTGATAAAGTCACGTGCAAAGCGAGAAAGAGAGCAGTTGTCTCGCAAGGAGCGTGCAGCCAAGAGAAAGAAGCAGGTTGAAGAGGCAGATGACGATGACGGCCACGTGCTCGAGTCTGTGGATGAGTGGGAAGAGGACTGCTACCTTTGCAGCGAAGGTGGTGAATTGGTGTGTTGCGACGGCTGCCCTCACGTGTTCCATTACTCGTGCATCGGGCTTCGTCGTGTCCCTCGCGGAAAAATCTTTTGCCACGAATGCGACACATCGGTGAAGCCGATCGTCCCTGCAAAGAAGAGTGGAAAAGCCTTTTTGAAGCGACCTAGACAGTCGCCGTCACCATCCCCACGTCGTCGATCTCGGAAGCAAACCAAGTACAGTAACGATGATTCGGGGTCAGACGAAAGCGACGCTGAGTCCAATTCTGCTGTCTCTACAGCTTCTGGTTGCCCTGCGTCCGGCAAGTCATCGCCAGAGCGACATGCTCACGTCGGGTCAAAGAGCTCGGAAGACCAGTGGGATGTTGATTGCAGTGTCTGCAGTTTGGGAGGTGAGCTGCTCTGCTGCGATGGGTGCCCTCGAGCTTTCCATGCAAATTGCATCGGCCTGGCTGAAATCCCCGAGACGGAGTGGTTCTGCAATGAGTGCAATCTACAAACCTGCGGAGTTTGTAAAGAGAACCGAATTCGGCTTGACTCGCACGTTATCTGTGGATCCGAAGATGGTTCGAAAGGCTGCGACCGTGTTTTCCACCTGGTACGCTCAGTTTCGTCTCGTGTACCTGATGGCAGTGATTTAACTCTCGTGTTTTTTGTTCATCTTCCTTAGAATTGCGCGGAGCTCGACAATGTTCCTGCAGATGACTGGTACTGTATGAAGTGTCGGACGAAGCTGAGTCTATAAGGTATGGATAAGTGTTGAAGTCAACACGTGCTAGGTGAAGAACGAAGATTTTGTAGGCTACATGTTGATAGGCACAAGAGCGTCGCGAAAACCTGGTTTGAATAACACTCGATGCCGTTGCAAAGCGATGTGGTCTCACCGGTAAACTGCTGATATGCAGTAGCGTGCGGTAATGGTTTCGTCGCTTATCAGCGCCCCAGGGTATCAACAATACTTTGGATCCAGAGTTCCCAGCCATCTTGCATCGATAACTGAGCTGCACAAACCAGGTTAGATAAACAGCACAATGGACGAATGACATTTATTGCTGGCAACTGGTCTTAACACTTCGATGGGGCATTGTCGTAGGGATCGTGGACCAAGGTCAAAGTTCCGATGTGTCGTGGTTGAGACGGCATCCCCATTTTTAATTCTGGTCATTGGCGTTGTTGGATATGTTTACGGAGTTCGAATGGTACTCAGTGTGTGAGTGAGTGTCCGTGGACAAATTCGCGTGGTGAACGAGACTAATGCAGTGCATTCCGGTGTTTCGGTTGAAAGCGGTTTTGATCATTGCTCGGTCGGGCTGACACTGTGAAAGGGACTCCACCTTGCGGGACGGTTGTTTGGAGCCGAGAAGACCAAGAATATGGCATCTGAATTTCCGATTGTGGCGCCAACTTTCGCTTCGAGGAAAGTCCTCGGGTTGTTGCAGTGTCGAAGTCAAGCCGATTCGGGTGGTCAAATTTGTTGATGAGGAGTGTTGTGTCCACTGTGTTGATGCTTGTAGGATAGCTGACCGAAGTTTTCGAAGGAATACACACGCATGGAAACTATGGTGGAAGGGTATTGGCATTGTTCAGTAGCTCAGAAGGTCTTGTGAGACACAGCACATTGGCACGGAATTCTTTTGAGAAGCTTTGCGGACAGTCACCGCCGTATAGCATGAATCAACAGCGAAGGTAACCTTGAGAAAGGAGCACTTTACTTCCATCGGACCAAAGGTCAGCGATGATGGTTCTGTTGTCCAAGCTCGCCCGTTCCGGTGACAGTAAAAACGATGACAACTGTACGCCCTGACGCAGTGCTTTCGTCAATTGCTCGGCGTTTCAACCTTGGGCAACTGCGTTGTCAAAGTGGCGTGTGTTTCCTGTGTCACGTCGCTCCTGTGTGTCAAGTATACCAGTTGAAGTGGTACCGAGAATCGTGCTATGTGCACTTGACAGCACGCTCGGACCACTCACATTTTCAAAATAGAGACAAACTGACAGATGGGTGTACAGTCTCGGGAATTGGACGCAGTTCACGTAACCAAGCAGGCGATGTGACCGTATTTCACCTGTTTTCTGGAGATACGCTCGTGATGGCTTGAACAATTTCAGTCTTCGTTCAATGGATGGAGACGGTTGACAAAGTCAAGCAAAATTGTCGTACGCTGTCTGAAAAGCACTTGTAATTTACTATGATTTGCACAACAAAGATGTCAGCAAGCTGCTTCGAATGCGGCGCAACCATTTGGATGCTGTGTGATACGACGCCAGAATCACAGTGAATTTTGCGGTAAGTGTACTGGCTAAACGATACGGAAGCGTGTCTCGTCGTATGATGATCGTCCAATTTGTCGAGTGGATATCTATCGTAGTGGAAGGCGTAGTGCAACAACAAGCTATTTACTGAAGGAACAACACGGCGACAAATACCAGTTGGTAGGGCAGCATTGACACACAAGTGAGGACGGACACACAACATGAAACTGCGAACCTTTATTGAGCATTTGCTGCGCTTGACAAGCAAAGTTGACTGCATCGGTGCGGAAAATCTGGCCGCCTTGTCACAGCCACTGCAGTTACAGATTCAGCTACTGCTTTGTCCCGTTAGCGTCTCGGAGATTGTTGAAGAAAGCTCGAAACGCGTCTTTCGGCTCCTTGTTCGTTGGAATGTAGTGGCCTCCGGGATGCATCAGCAGCTTTGCATCAGTGAAAAGATTTTTGAGAGCAAGACTCCGTGCGTTGTCCACCACGGCATCCGACTCGCCAATGACATGGAGCGATGGCAAGTCGATCTTCCCGTTGTTCGCGTACTTTGGATCACTGGAAGCTCCAGCTGAGACGAAAAACGCAAAGCGGAATGAAAATGGCGAACCACGAGTGTTGACTGAGTTCACATACCCCCCCACAAGAAACAATTGCCGGAAGAAGCATGCAGCTCAGCACCATGTGTCAGTCATCTCTCACACCTCTCACTTTATTTTCCAAGTCCGCAGCACAGTTCAACACCAGCACATTACCTTGTTCTTGCATGATCAATGAGACAAGAGTCCCCCCTTGACTGAATCCGAAAATGCCATCAAAAGGTCCTTGCTGCTTCACACAATTGGCAACATACTCGATGGCTTCTTCCACCCGTTCAAGCCGCTCGGCCCCGAACGCTTCATCACGACTATAGTCGAACCACTTCAACTGCTTCACCTTCACTCCAGAGGTTTCGCCGCTATTTTACCACAGTAGCAGACCATTAGATTCAACGCTTTGGAGCCAACAATTACAAAAACAATCGATCATAACCTCATTCATACTGAACCGACTAGTGAACTGTCGTACCTGTTGGCATGACCTATGGATGTGGGTTCGTACGGCACAGTGAACGGCGCATCTAGACATACTACAACGAAAATGACGTTATGATCAAGCGACTTGAACCGAGTCGCCTTTCGTTCTAGTAGGAAACGAAATAGTTGCTACGAACCAAAGTCTACACTGGACTTGAACGTCCTGCGTAACGCAGCAATGCGACCACGGAGTTTTAGTCCATCTTGACGGTAGCCGTGCAGACACAAGACCCGTAACTTGGTCATGATTGAATAGTAGAGATGAGACAAGGAAGGATGTGATGGTCGCAGTCTTGAACCGATGCTACTACGATTAGGAGCGACTCTTTGAACGAGAGATAGAGAGAGGTAGAGAGATGCCAAAGTCCCTTTTAAAATGACGAGTATGTGTTACCAGGAGTCGCAGACACTGGACATGGCGCGACTTTTGTAAGGTCTGACGCTTTGACAGGGTATTGATCATCCCTTGAAGCATTTGTGGCTCGGGAGCGCAATGCTGATCAATGAAACGGACACGAACACTGATTTACCATTCAAAGTTGGCAACAACAAGAGCTATTTCGCGTGCTGGACAACTTGCGAGCGGATACAAGTGACTTGCTGCTTGTGTGTTTTAATTATGATCATTGTGAACGTTCGTTCATTGATGATCGTGGTCGTCCTTCGTCGCTTACTCATAAAACAAATGGACTTCCTCGTTGGATCATCGCTATCGCTACGACGATTCACTGAAGCGATCGTAGGAAGGAGGTAGATGGGTAGATGCAGTCGAGGTCAATCCAGGATCAGGTTCAAATCAAGGATACGATACTACATGGTGATGGTGTTGCGGACCGAAGACGTGATTGATGGTAGGTAGAGCACGCTGGATGATTCACGCATAGACAAACGCTTGCGCTGAAAGTGAAAACTTGCGTCTCTGCTGTACGCAGGTACTCACTCAGTTACAGGATCTGACTCGTCAGCCGGTGTGTTCATTGGAGATCCTGACTCTACTCGATTCGATGTGCAAAGAGACCCACATTGAGATGAAAGCGCGGGCTGTGCAGCCAAGCGACGTTGGCTTTGCCTGAGAATGTCATGTGGATGTCGTGAAAAAGCACTTGCTGGACAGATAACGAGCCTACTAGGTCGTCAAGAAAAGCACAGATATCTGGTCCATGTGGATGCTACATATGGCACCTATGTGACGTTCTCAACTTGACAGCTATCAAAGTTCGCAAACTTTTGCCAGTCACTGTGCCCTCGATTTCGTTGATTAGTTCACTTTGTAATCTGTCGACCAAGGTAAAACGACGCATCGTGTCAACTTGAGACTGCTACATCACTAAACAAAAGCTCGAGACGTCGTTAATAGTGCGCGATGACTGTTCGTATGTACATTGCAGTGGCTCTTAGCGATACTGCCGACGTTTGTTGTAGCTTACAAAATGCCATACCATGAGGCGCGATAATGGCATTCCTTGCTTTCATAGCGTCCATCTTCATCAACAAGCACGTGGCTTTTCTAAGAAGTGTCGCATTCGACTGCGAGACACAACGACCTTGCCAGACTTCGTGATAAGTCTATGTGCTTGCTTCAGAACTGATAGACGCAGCAGTTTGTCAGCGATATCATCATGGGTTGAACCTGTCTAAGTCCTCGACTGAGTTAGTACAGAGTGTGAATGGCGATCTATTCTGGATCCATCCGACGTACTTTACTGATAGGCGGATGAGTCTCCACTCGTCCGAATGAGTCACCGCGGCAGAAGAAAGGTGTCATTCGTTCTGAGCCTTTTCCAGAGCCTTTTTACTGTTCTGCTTACCAGTCTTGTTTAAATGCATGTACAAACAGCACTCCCACCCAGGAGCTTGCTCTGACTGCGATGACGAACGATCGTAACTGTAGTGACTTCACGCACGGCGTTTGACACATCGGTGACATCAGCGACTAACGTTGCTCTTCTTTATATTGATGAGTACGTATAACGCACTTCCTGTCTATGTCTGGAATGGTAATGCGTCAACTGCGCTTGTTCATAGCGTAACGACGCGGCAACGGCACAGATGCTGCTTCATAATTCGCCTTATATTTGTAGACGCACTGTACATCGCTACGAATCAGTAATATCCTAATGATATTGTCAATGTGGCTATGAGTGCAGTACGCAGAGCTACTTGCACCTAAAGATGTCATGGCCTACAATATCTTGAGTCCTAACTCATTTGCCTGTGCCTGTCTCAACTTGTCAAACTTGTGCACACGCAATATTCTACAAAGGGTCATGTAAACTCATCCTGTAGCATCAGCCGCTTGCAAGTATTTACCAACACATATCTTGAGACCGATCCAACAACGCCGGCACAAGTCATCATCGTAGTCGTTCCACGCTTTAGTAGCACTATCGCCATGACAGCTCTCGATGCTGTTGCAGTATGTGACGACGTATCCGTTCACGAAATCGTTCACGAAATCCACCATTTGCGTGTTTCGTGGTTGTGATTGTAGTATGCATATGAATGGATCAAACGGGTGGGTGCATTCGTTGTAAGCTCGAGTGTCATTATCGATGCGCTTCGCGAACAGCGGAAGCGTGGATCGGGTAAGCATTTAGCTGCAAGTAAACGTCTCTAGCTTGTAATGAACGCGATAAACACATTCTTCACATCACAACTTCATCAAGGATCTTTCTTCCTACATAGACTTCCACCACACCGCTCTTCATTCATTATGTGTTTCAACACAGCGTCGCGTGAAGCAAGCACAACCTTTTCAACACCTTACACATCCGCGATCGATGCTTTGAGAGATTCTTTTCTACACTGCATGAGCTTCCTCCGCACCTAACACGTGTTCACCTTGTTGTATTCAAATAGCTCATTTGTCCATACGGAAACAACGTGGGTACCCAGTGGGTTCTGCTGGAGTACAATGTAGCCGATTACCTCCTTCTCTCAGAAAAATCTCCACAAATCATCCCATGACTCAATCCATGTCCCTTCTGCGTCTGATGTGCGATTTACAAGGGAAAAATCGTGGCTCTATTAGCGTCCTAGTTGGCAATGACTGATGTCCCTAGCTTACTCGACTCCTCTGTATTTTCCACTCCACCACAACGAAATGTAGACGTCATTTGTTGAACAAATTATTTGCAACTTGCAACAACTCAAGAGATTATCTGGCTGCAGTACAGTCTTCCCTCTACATCCACTCATGATATTTAATCATCAATGAAATGAACAGAAACATCATCTCAACGCTCGCAAAAAGTGGATGCGCATGTACAAATTACATCAAGTTTCATATTGTCCATTTCTAACTTTTTCTACTTGTTTTAGAAATTGAAAATTATCACCCTGCGCAGTGCTTAAGAAGCTCTCATTCCATATTACGTCGTGGATTTCTAAAACCCACAAGTCAATTCTGATTAGATTTGTCTGATAATTTCAATTAGAAACTATTGTGTTTTCATCGCTTTTTTGAAAAAGACCAAATTTGATAGTAAGCTGAACTTATCTTGTAATTTCAATCTACAGCCACTTTCATTGGCAATAGTTTTAAAAATGAGCAGAAAAACAGTGGTGGTGTGTTTTTTTGCCGTTTGTCGGGATCGACGTTGTTGAAGCTTTCATTACGCAGCAACCATTCCAATTTGTCATGTTCGAGTAGGATGAAAGCGACGTTGCGAATAAGAGTAAATTTGAACAATTTTGACAAGTGCATCCGTCGATGAAATGTAGGAAGCATGTTTTGAACTATAAGTGCGCATCTCAAACATGCCGAAAGAGATTGACCACCTTTACCGCGTGTTCCAACCTGTTACCTGCTACCACAAAGCGCTAAAAATAAGAATGCACACGTATCGATGCATCGCTGCCATTGACAAGTAAACTATACGCTAGTGAAATGTATCCAATTCGAAATTTATGCCACCAAATTCTGTTCATTGCTGCTTCAATTTCTGAAATTACACGTTAGTGATATTTTCTTCGTGACAAAAATGCCCCATTTAATCACGTAAACACAAAAAAAAATAGATAATTAGAAAATCAAAATGCCCCACGTGCTCATGTATTCCAGTTAATGTGGTACGTATATACCGATAATGTGCTTCGATGAAGGGCTTAAGCTTTTGCATATACTGTATATACGCTATAAGCTGATCCGTCTGACTTTCTCAAATCGATGAGCCCTTGATTACAATCGCTCGGATATTCACCGTGACAGAGTGGACTCCTGCTATGCTCGCGCATCAACGCTACGTTATATAGATACCTATTTGCAACCGGCAAGAGGCTACAAATTGAGATCAAGCCTCTGAATGTGATTTACACTAGGTGCTGTTCAGAAAACTTTGGTCAAATCTAGCGGATGCGTAGGTCCTTAGACATTCAGAAGCGCCACTAACTACTACCAATTTACTTTATCAACATACAAATATAGTTTCGTAGCACATCCAACAACGCAGCAGGTGATGTGGCACCATTTACTACATGTTGAGGGCCGCACGCCAAGTGCTGGCGGATACAATCCTATAAATCTGTTTGAAGTCCGTTTCGTACGTTTTAATATAGAGTGTTTTCATTTTATAAACTATGACGTGTATGCTGGAGTGTGTGAACACGTCGACCGTATCGAATGTCTTGTGTGTGTGTGTGTGTGGTCATTACCTCTTGCACTCCGCGACCCCAGCTTGCTGTTCTTGAAAAAAAGTCTTAACAGTATAGAATAATTTATACAACAGCACTGAAACGGCGCCATCAGCACTAGTAAAGCCGTTTCTGATTGATAAACTAAGAGTCAGACCGATGAAATGGATTTTCTGATAGTCTATGGAATGGTAAAAATAAGCTCAAGTAACTACAGCGTACGAGCAGAAAACGTATTCCTATACCACAACTGAACAACTGCGACAGCAGCACTGTACAACCAACGACACCACTGAACAATGGTAACACCAAGAACACGAATAGCAGTAGCAATCACAACGATATCATCAGCAACAACACCAGATTTAGCAGCATCAGTATCGAAAGGAAAGGAACATTGTAAATTATTAACAGCACTAACAACAACGGCTACATCCACAGCGGTAGTAGCAACAACGACTCCAGCAATAACGACACTAGCAATGAAAGAGCAGCAGCTGATTACGGATAACCAAAATAACAGATATGACATGAGAAAATAAGTATAACGATGACAAAACTATACCATCAACTGCAACAACCACACCAGCACCAATTGTCTGCATTTACAGCAG